CCAGGGCTGTTTGACCATGAACTGCACAAGTGCTGGGTGTTACCCAGACCTCCAGGATGGACCTGCGGTCTCCAGGTGGCGAGAGGGCGAGAGGATCTATCTATCTATCTATCTATCTATCTATCTCTCTCTCTCTCTCTCTCTCTCTCTCTCTCTATCTATCTATCTATATCTCCATCAGGCTCTGCATGCAGCGTGCAAGATTCAGTCTGGCAGGAGCCAGCTGCTAATTCTTGCATAGACTGGGGGGGGTCCTGCCTTCATCTGCTCCATTCTCCCCTCTCCCAGTTAGTCTCCATCTCCAGGGCTTAGTGGTGGGACGGAACACAAAGGGTGGGGGGAATCACCCAGGGCTGCCCTTGTGAAATCATTCGTAGGCCTAAAGTTTGGACCCTTAAATCTCAGAGTCTGGGATGCTACTGATCTGGCAAACATAACTGGGTGCCATATTATTTTGTGCAAGCCTTCAACTAACTCATCTGTCTTCCTCCCTCCCCATCTCTCATATGGAAGCATGGTTCAGTTTATGGGAATTATATGGGAGGGGGCACATTTTCAAGAATGGAATTAATGATATATAACACACGGTTTACAAATTGCTTCCAAGTTAGCCTTTGCAATCCTTTTTTTGCTGTGTTTTTATGGAGCTCACAGAACTTTGCTGTCAAACTGTTGCGCTTATTCTGAGCTGATTTGTGACCCTTTTAAAAAGAATATTGTGCCATTTCAATGCCAGACCTGCAGCTTCCCCTTTGTGGGTTCAGCTGGTTCAAGGGAAAGTTCAGAATCGCCTCTTAATTAAGTCAATTTCTGCCTGTCCGTGAGGAGAGGTCAACTGCTGGCTTCCCCCCACACCCTTTTTATAACAAAGTAAGGCCATTTCACTGTAAAATAAATAAAAGAGTAAAACCAGAAGGAAATGCAGCTGGTGTCTGGAGGAAGGGTCCGTATAAAAATACTCAGGCACCAAACCACTTTGCATGTAAATGACAGGTGGCCAGGAATGCAAGGCCAGGTTGGGGGAGTTATGGAAGAAGCAAGTAATTATTAGCAATGCAAAGGCAGGAGCTGCCAGAGGCTAAATAAGGACATATCTGCATACAAATCAGTTCTAGCCTGAGTTATCCGGCCTCTTCAGGGACTTCTCAGCTGACACACGCCTGCCATTTTGTGCAGTTGGAGCTCAAGCACATCCTATGTTCTCATCGGGGCTTCAGGTTTTAAATCCTAGAGAAGGCACACTTCTAGTCTCTCCAGGTAAAGCAAACTCTTTAAATGGGCAAGAGACTGTGGATAGAGAGCCCTGCCCTGCCCAGCTCTCTCTCTCTCTCTCTCTCTCTCTCTCTCTCTCTCTCTCTCTCTCTCTCTCCCCCCCCCCCGGGCTCCTAACTCACCTGCGTTCTTGCCTTCATGCCATCTCGTGCCCTGCTGGGGGGGACGGACCATTGCAGTAAATACACAAATATTGCACTGATAATAATGATGTTGATGACAGTAATAATAATACAACACACAAGACATTTGTTATTAGGCACAATGCGCATTACTAGAAATGTTTCCGTTCCAATGCCATCTCACTCCTCACTGTCAGTGCTTGCTGGGGAAAAAAGACTGTTGCTGTCAATATACACATATTGCACTAAGAATAATATGGCACAGTGAATATTTGCTGTTATGCACAATGAATATTACTTAAAAGGTTCCTAAGCACAAGTTTGGGATTCTTTTTGGCACGGTGCAGGCACACTGTTAGAGATGAAGGTGGATCAGGCCCTCTCAAGGAGGTCGCCTGTTACACGGGAACTTGAAGGCAAAAGAGGTCACCCTTTCTGTAAAACCAGGTATAAACCTGGATTTTAATTCTATTATCATCATCATTGTTGATTTATTCCCTGCCCTTCAAGCTAAGGTTCTAGGATGGGTTACGGCATTAAAACCATATTAAAAACAACTTAAAACAACTTACAACCATAAGAATAGGGTGTTCCCCGAAAACAGTTGTTTGCTGTACAGCCTGGGCACAGGATTATCACCACGGTGAGAGCTGGACTTTCCCATTCCTTTTTTTTGAAGCCCACCTGTATAGCCTTTCCCACTTTTATTATTGATTAAAAGACCAGCCCTAGGAAGCTGCAGATGGAGGGAGGGCAGGCATTTTTCAAGTCAACTCCCTTCCCCTCAACTGCATTTTGACCAGCAGAATGTGGATTTTGCCACAGGATGAAAAGAAGCTCAGGGCAGTTTTGAGTGGGAAAACAACCTCTCAGACAGAGGGGAATGAGCTGGTTCTCCTCTCCTGGTTCTCCCTAAGATCCGCAGCCTTTCGTGGCTGTCCTTGCCGAAAATGGAAACAAGAAGTAAGGGGGGAAATGTGTACTTTTTGGTTTGAGATGAGTGAGCTGAAGCCACGTTCGTCAGAGCAGTCTTCCTCTTGGGTCCAAATGGTGCCAGTCCCACTTTCCAGGCTAATATGTCACGGTGCTTGGGAGGCAAGGCTTCCTGTACCGTTGCATCTGGGAAGAGGCCTTGTGAGCAAACCAGGAGGCCTAATAACTGAAATAGACAGATGAGTCTGAAAGAGCGGTTCAGATCAAGAGCTCAGGCCTGACCCTCATTTCTGCTCTTTCCATGAAACGGTGACTGTTTTGAAGGAGTCTTTCTTCAGCTGTGCTTCTGATACAAGCCATGCCTTAATTTGGGTAACCTTGTCCGGCCCTGAAGCTCTCCCTTCCAGCTTTTGGTTGTTTGGGGGGGGGCTTCGCCACGGCTTCCCCTTTAGCACACCCCTCCCCTTTCAAATTGCACTTCAATATTTGTACCGTGTGTGATTTTATCACTTGACGTCAGTAGCAGAAGTTTTGCTTTCTGCCAGGGCACCAAGAATGCAAAGACACGGCCGCCATCTGGTGGCTACTGAAGGCAGCGCAATGTTTGGCGACTTTGACAGGGTTGCCAGACATAATGCTGTGTGAGAGTTTGCCAGATCAAACTTTCAGGAATAAGAACCACTTTGGAGTCACACTGGGTCTGAAATGAGGGATATTTGTATCCTGTCTCTGGTACCTGATGTTTCCTCTCAAAATACAGTCGTACCTTGGTTGACAAACGCCTTAGCAGTCAAACGTTTGGCTCCCAAACGCCGCAAACCCAGAAGTGAGTGTTCCAATTTGCGAACATTCTTTCGGAAGCTGAACGTCTGGTGGGGTTTCCGTGGCTTCCAATTGGCTGCAGGAAGTTCCTGCAGCCAATCGGAAGCTACGCCTTGGAAGTCGAACGTTTTGGAAGTCGAGCGGACTTCCGGAACGGATTCCGTTTGGCTTCCAAGGTACGACTCTACGCACATGATGCTGTCTCCCCTTTCAAAGCCCCTTTCTACAAAGCCTTTGGCAAAACCCTTTAGATATTATCCCCACTGGTACAAGCCCTAAACACATTGAACTAAACACATCTTCTTCTTGTCCTCCTTGCCTCCTTTCCTCTCCCTCTAGCAGAGCAGTCACCAGCCGTTTCAAGATTTGAGATACGGCTCATTTTCCAAAAAACCAAACCCACCCACACAAACCTTCCCCAAAAACTGTGCTGACCCACAGAAACCCACCCAGGTAACATTCCCCCCACCATTTAAACCCACCCAGAGAAACTTTCCTATGCCCCTCACAAAAAAACCGAGCACCTCTGACTCTAATTTCAAGCCCGCCTTTGTGTACTTTTGCACTCTAAGCAAAATTCAAAAATTGCATTTAAGTGTCTTGTGCACGTGGAAGAGATTTACATTGGCACCGATCACCTGAAAGACAGGTAAGCACTATGTCTAGATGCAGCTTTCAACGACCCTTCCCGTGTGATATTTTACCATGTAACTTAAATTTGTTTTGCTTTTGGAAGCAGTTCAGTGATTGGCCGGACTACAGCTTCATGCAATGGGGACAGTGGGAGAGTGTTGGGGATGGATGGATGCCGGCTGTAAGAAAAAGCCTGAGCTGTTGAGAGTCCTGCATATATTTTTTAAACCTTGACCATTGTTTATTCATGCCATCAGCTGTCTACAAGTGTAACTAATTGAGGTAAAAACATTTTATTCTAGAATGCGCTCTATTGAACCATTAAAGGATCTCTGGTTAAAAAACCCCTGAACATTGCACAGAAAAATAAGTATCCCTTCGCAATCAGGACCACTTCTGAATGCCACTGCAGGAAAGCTGGTAACATGGCAGGAACAAAGGCAGCACCAAACATGGGAAGCCTGTCTTCTCATTCACACACCTGAGGGCTCCATCCCATGTTACATTTGGCAGATATTGCGCTCTTTGCGAACACAAACTCAAACGAGCAACGCATGCTGCTAGCTTCCAGACAAGATCATAACTTGGATCCAGTTGCATGCATTGCCCAGATGCATTTATGATGGTGCTCCTTTCATTTATATATATATATATTTCTTGCTGTCCGTGCAGTCAGACATTGGCTATTCCTAAAAACAAGAGAAGGTAACCCTTGGGGGCAAGAAGGAAGGAAAACCGAAAGAAGCAATGGAGGTATTTAGCAACCAACAAGTAAGGTTCATTCACCAACAAATCTAGGACTCTGAGACACACCCACCCACCCCATCAGATTTTTCAAGATGCTCCCCAACTTTTTAGCACATTGATAAATGCACAACAGTCCTTTATCTTTCACCCCAATTTTGCTGACCAGGAGAAGCAAACCATGGATCCAAATATGGCAAACTGCTTTCCAGCTTAGCCCACCTAGAGAAGGTGCAAAGTAGGAGGAGGCAGCACTCTGCCCATCCACTCTCCACAGGCTGAGTTTCTGCCAAGGAGGCTGGCTGGCTCCAGATCCAAAAGGTGAGACTTATGCAAACTAATCACGGAGAGGCAGAAGACGGAAGAGTTTGCTCCCAGATGCCGGTCCGTTTGCCTCTATCCTCACTACTCACCACACGGAGGAACTAAGGAACAGGGCAAAACCTGGTTGAGGAGTCTGATTGCTCATCTCTCTCAGTCCAGAGGAAGCGTAGGGTTCTCCAAGAAGACAGCCAGCTTGCCCGCTACCATATCCAGGTCGTTGGTGTTGGCATACTTCAGCAGGTTGGTGCCTTTGATGAAGTAATGCTTCAGGAAGTGCTGGCTCACACATTTGTGCAACTTGCGCACCATCCGCAGGAAGCCTTTGCGGAAGCAGGACCAGTCCTTGGAGCGAGGGTACTTCTCGCATGTCCAGAAAAGCACCATCTGCAGAAGACACAAATGAGGCGCAATAGATTCAGCAACACAGGAAGTACGGGGGGGGGGGGGATACGGTCTACATGGGATGGCTCCCAACCTTGAAGTAAATACAGTGGTACAAAGTTAAGTCAAGCCAAGCAGATATATAAGAATGAATGTTTAATTAGTAAAGGTAAAGGTACCCCTGGCCGTACGGGCCAGTCTTGCCAGACTCTAGGGTTGTGCGCTCATCTCACTCAAGAGGCCGGGAGCCAGCTCTGTCCGCAGACACTTCCGGGTCACGTGGCCAGCGTGACAAGCTGCATCTGGCGAGCCAGCGCAACACACGGAACGCCATTTACCTTCCCACTATAAAGCGGTACCTATTTATCTACTTGCACCCGGGGGTGCTTTCGAACTGCTAGGTTGGCAGGCGCTGGGACCGAGCAACGGGAGTGCACCCTGCCGCGGGGATTCGAACCGCTGACCTGACGATCGGCAAGTCCTAGGCGCTGAGGTTTTACCCACAGCGCCACCCGCGTCCCATGAATGTTTAATTATTAAGATACAAAAATACAATCTCAATAATAAAGTTACCAAATGATAACAAGGAAGTCACGCACGGGTGGAGGGAAGACACAGGGCAAGAAATAAGCAGCAAAAAAAGAAACGGATAAATGTTGGTACATAATGAAATGTGAAAATGCAAATTTACAAATATAATGTATATGTATCACTATGTAAATATTTCATATATGTATTGCAACATTAAAAATAAATAAATAAATAAATATTTTTAAAAAAGTAAATACAGTGGTACTTTGGTTCTCAAACGCCTTGGTACTCAAACAACTTGGAACTCAAACACGGCAAACCCAGAAGTAAGTGTTCTGGTTTGTGAATGCTTTTGAGTGCCACACTTCCGTTTTGAGTGTTACGTTGAGGTCTGTCTGTTTTTGCTATTTATTTTGCGTTTTTGATTTTGCGGCTCTTTTTGTTTTGTTTTTGTGACTATATGGAACCCAGTTCAGCTACTGATTGACTGACTGTGTGACTGCAGTACATTGTTTATTGCTTTCATTTTATGGACCAATGGTCATGTTAAATTGCTGTTTTAGGGGTTGTTTTTAAAAGTCTGGAATGGATTAATCCGTTTTGCATTACTTTCTGTGGGAAAGTGCAGCTTAGTTTTGGAACGCTTTGGTTTTGGAATGGACTTCTGGAACGGATTAAGTTTGGGAAACCAAGGTGCCACTGTAGTTTAGAAATGCTCCAGCTTTCTCAGTGAAGCTCCCTGTTGCTCTGGCATGAAAAGTAAGTTGCCAGCTGCATCTTCTTCTGCCGGCTGCACTTGTTGCTGAAGTTGGACCCCTGATACCCAGGAGAATTTGGGGTTTCCAGTATACTGGGGGGACGGGGACAACAGCCTGGGGGTGGGTTGACTTGGGCCTGGTTGCCAGAAAAACAAAGGGCAAGACCAGGTTTCCTCAACCTCGGCCCTCCAAATGTTTTTGGCCGACACCTCCCATGATCCCTAGCTAGCAGGACCAGTGGTCAGGGATGATGGGAATTGTAGTCTCAAAACATCTGGAGGGCCGAGGTTGAGGAAGCCTGGGCAAGACCATTTCCCACCCCACCCCCCAAATATCACAAACACAACATCTGGGCCAAAAATGATTTCCCTGAAACTCACTAGCACGTCTCTGGCAAGTGCTAGTGTCTGGCCTACATAGTATATCTTCGTTTATATGGAGTTGTTTCCATAACTGAAAGCCTAGCAACATACCAGAACGTTTAGAAGCACCACACCTGGTGTCTCCATCACACAAGCCTATCGTGTAATGTCAGGCCCTGTGTGGGTCTGCAGAAAGTGTCCCATCTAGGAGAGAGAAGATGGGGGCTTGCTAGCACAAGTGAATTAGACGGCCTTCTTAATAATGGCATCCAGTCAGAGTAATGACCCGGATCAAGGGTGGAAACCCCTTTTTCTGTCAAGTGTCAGATTCCGTTGGGACTACTCTGTCAGAGGTCGACGGTGGATGGAGCCAGAGGTGTGGGGAAGCGAGAGTCAGCTGCCTTCTGCTCTGTCCATCCCTTAGCAAACCACAGGCAATGAAGAAGTGTTAAGCAGCCAGTCCTCCAAAACATCTCCTCTTGTTTAGGGGTACAGATCTCTCCCCCCTTCCCAATGCCTCACTGGCTGGCGCACACACCTGCAGGTGGAAGGCGGTGAGGACTGGCTTGTTTCCTGCACACCAGACATCTTCCTTCATCTGCCTCATAACCCGGAAGCACATCATGCGGCAGCCGCCGTCCTCGTCGAGTCCCTGCATCAGGATGTGCTCAGCTCTCGCAAAGCTCAGGTACCAGTGGTAGTTGGAAGAGGCCAAGAGGTCAAAGCCAAAAGACTGCAGAAAAGAAGCAGAGCAAGTTGGGGAAGGAAAAGACGGGGGGGGGGGAGAAGGCAGAGGGCGCCCCCCCCCACAGCTGAGAGATTCATTGAGCATCTCCATAGGAGCAGCCTTTGCACTGTTTCAATCCATCAACTTATCCCCAGGGTCCAGGGGGCTTACTAATACTCTGAAACAGATTGAAAGGCACAGAATTATGCAAATAAAACATATTAAAATGTGCTAAATTAAAAGCAACATTTACATGCTTATCCCATTGCCTTCAATGGGATACCTACCTACGGGACCGCCTCTCCTGGTATGCCCCGCAGAGGACCTTAAGGTCCACAAATGACAACACTTTGGAGGTCCCAGGTCGCAAGGTGGTTAGATTGGTCTCAACTAGGGCCAGGGCCTTTTCAGTACTGGCCCCGACTTGGTGGAATGCTCTGTCACAAGAGACTAGGGCGCTGCGGGACTTGACATCTTTCCGCAGGGCCTGCAAGATGGAGCTGTTCCGCCTGGCCTTTGGTGTGGACTCATTCTGACCCTTATGTTACCCTCCCCTTATGGTTTTGATTTATGGGCTACTTTTAAAATGAGGCTGCATTTTAAATTGCTTTTTAACCTGTATTTTAAATTGGTCCCCGCCCCCCATTATGCTTTTATTGTAATTTTACTGAGCCTGGCTCTGGCTGGGGCATAAATAAATTTTATTTTTATTATTATTAACAGGCTATCTAGAAGCTGTGTTAAGGCTTGGGCTTTGGGGACTCTCTGGCAAGAGGAGGCTGGATGCATATCCGGAGAAGAGAACGTAAGCGGCCTTTCACGTGCCACCACAGTTTTTAACTGGTCCAGATTAACAAAACATGAGGCATATTTTAGCAGTCGAAAGGGAAAATATGGGAGAAGTCACTGTCTAGACTGGTGTTTCCCAAACTTGGGTCTCCAGCTGTTTTTGGACTACAATTCCCACCATCCCTGACCACTGGTCCTGCCAGCTAGGGATGATGGGAGTTGTAGTCCAAAAAACAGCTGACGACACAAGTTTGGGAAACCCTGATCTAGTGTATAGGGTCTTAAAAGCAATTGGTCAAGAGGGATCTGGAAGTTACACTCTTCCCCCAGCCTAGTGGCATTAAATAGAAATGGTGCCCTCTTCATACTTTTGTGGGTTGTGTACATTGGGCACCTCTCCCTAGTAAGCAGAGGATTGGGAAATGACTCCTGTTTTTCTTCCCTTGCTTACAGGGATGTGCTGCAAGTCTCCACTGCCAGTTGGCACCAGACTCCTGTCTCCAGGCCTGGCACACAGAAAGAGGACAGAGAAAAGTCTGTCTCCCCATCTTAACACGAGAGCTTGTGGGAATCCAATGAAGTGAGAAGTTTGAAGGTTCGGGACAGATAAGAGAAAACACTTCTTCACACAACACATAGTTAAACTATGGAACTCACTCCATAGTAGTGATGGCCACCAACCCATACCCTCCAACCTTTCTCCGATGAAAATAGGGATGTCCCATTCCACAAGGATAATTTTACTATTTATACCCCACACATCTTGTTGTGTTGCCCCAGCCACTCTGGGCAGCTTCCAGAATATATAAAAACATAAGAAAACATTAAATTTTTTTTAACCCTTCCCTATATAGGATTACCTTCAGACACCTTGGGGGCTGGATAACGCCATACCCTCCAACATTTCTCCAGTGAAAATAGGGCCATCCTAAGGAAAAGCGGGACATTCCGGGGTCAAATCAGAAACCAGGAGGGCTTCTCTAAATCCAGAATGGCCCTGGGAAATAGGGACCCTTGATGGGTCTGCCCACCTAGATATATTTCATGAAGGAGGGGGCTATTGAAGGCCACAGGCCATAGTGGCTATGCTCCGTCTCCACGGCTGGGGCAGCATTATTTCCGAACCCCAGAGCAGAATATTAGTTTTAACTGTTCAAATCATTATGGCCTAAATCATTGGTTCTCACTTATTTTATTTTATTGTAGGCCACACTTTCAGAATAAAAATTTCCTCGTGCCACACCGACTATTTTAGTGATGAGAAATACACCCTCTCCTGTCACACCAGGTTGGCGCACCGCACTCTGGGATCACCCCTGGCCTAACTCCTGCTCTCTTTACCCCTCCACATGCCCCTCTTTGCAAGATCACGGTCGCATCCTGGCCTGGTACCTTGACGCATTGCACTTTCTCCTGGCTAGGCCAGCGCTTGAAACATCGGGGCCACTTGATTTTCCGAGGCCAACAAGTTGGGATCTCAATGGCTGGAACCAGCTCAACCTCAACCTGGACGTCGGATGTCTCCACAGCAACATGGACCACCGAGCTGAAGCCTTCCAAAATGCTGACTCGCTCTGGGGGGGGGGGAAGGGCACCCGAAGGGGATTAGTCAGCAGAAATTGGACTGCAGCAGATTCCTCCCCTGGCACAATTCTGCAGCTGGCATTTCCTCTTCCTATGCCCAATATTAGCTGGATTCTGACATTCATTAATTTCTTGGGTTTAGCAGCGCTCACCCCCCCCCCAAAAAAAACCCCTTAGGACAGTATGCTTCTGCCAGTCTGTATCTATAGTCACAAAGGCAGTTTCATTTCATTTCGCTTTTAATTTGTATACCGCCTTTTTATATTTACTTGCACAAAGTGGTTTACAGCAACAAAATAAACAATCAAGAACACGCCCCTTACAATAATCTGGTCCAATACAGAAAGGCATAACAAAATATAACTTTTAAACAGACTGACTTATATAAAAGAAATTAATATTCAACAATCTATTAGAATATAATAGTACGCAATAATATTAACTCTGAAAACATCAGCAAATAATAATTAAGAGAAATTCACTCTTAATTACAATAAATATGATCTAAACTATGATCATTAAAAATCACTGCAAGTCACAATGCAGATGAGGATGGTGGTGGTGACGATGACGATGATGATTTGTGGTATGGTCTGTCATTTGGGCCAGGACCACACTGCTGGGGGGTGTGGGTGGGTGGGTGGGTGGGTGGGTGTAGACCTGGCAGAAGTACCTGTTAGAGGTTTGGGGAGGCCACGAGTGGGAAAGTGCTACCAAAAACCCCTGAGCCACTTCCTCTTGCACCTGCCCCAGTGAACTCACCCGTGAGATTGTGAGATACGACCGCTTTCTCCACAAGTTCTCGGAAGACGGCCAGGACCTTGGCAGGCACGAGGTCGCCCTCGATGTTCACATCTGCCTCGTGCCACTGCTGGAGGCTCTTGGAGAACTGCTCCACTTCCAACCACTGCTGCAGCTCCTCCGGGTCCCTGACAGGGGACAGGAGCTTGGCTCCATGCGTCGTGTAGTAGCGCCAATGCCGTACTTGGCCTTCTTTGTACCCAGACAGGCCAAGCAAGGGGACGGTGATGAGGAACTGGCCGGGTGTTAAGACCTAGACAGATTCAGAAAGGTTGGAACAGGAAATGGCTAGGATGGCCAGGAAACTAGAACAGACTTTGGGCTTGTCCACACTTCCATGGGTCAGATCTGAATTAGAGGCTTCCTGATTCACAGCTGAATGCAACCCTTAGCATGCTTACTCAGAAGTATATATGTTTAGTACTGGAGCCTTGGTTACTTCACTACATCTGCTAACAGTGAGGAAATGATCTATCTCTCTCTATAATAATAATGTAAGAATGCCATCAAGCAATCCTCACTGGAAAATTGGTAGTGCCGTATCACTATCCTGGATTTGCATGACGTCAGGTTGGGATAGGGAAGCAAAAGTGAAGGCAGGTTGCACAACAGCAATGGCCCCGGCGGAGGAGTGAGGAGCAGGCAACACTGAGAGGGGAAAAGAGGCAGTCTAAAACAACAGAAGAGTTTTAATTAAAGCAGGGATTGAGTGAACTGAGAGGGAAATTGTTAAGTTGTGGGTGAACATATCAGACAACACAGCGATTCTTCAAACAGCTCTTGCTTATTCACAGACCAGAACAGGACTGAACTGAAGGGTTCAGCCAGCCTGCTTATATAGAGCTCCACTACAACACAACTGTAACCACTTTCTGTAACTACCCAATCACTGAACGTCACTTTCAATCCCTTATTTGCATATGTAGACCTGAGTGAAAACTATCGACAGTATCCCCCTGCTGGCCCAGGGTGAGAACTTCAGTACATAACAGAAATGGTGGTTTGAAACAACAGCAGGTGTTTGAGTAAAGTACAATGGAATATTTGAGGGCTTAACATCCTTGGGGAAGTCTGAGCACAGTGAAAAGGGAGGGACACTGAAAAGGAAGAAAAGCGGCCATTTTAAACAACAGCAGAGGTCTGAATAAAACAAGGATGGGGTTCCTCAGAAAGGAATTACAAGGCATAAGTACAGATGGAATTTATTGTTCATGTGCCATTGCAAAGAAGTCCCACGTGGCTTTAGTGGGGATGACCAATTCCGTGGTACGTAAAGCCCAGGGACTATAACACGTCCAGCAAAACGTGCAGGCCCACAAAATGTGAAGCCCCCTTCTTCAGGTGAGACTTCTCAGGCAGCAGGTGACTTAAAAGCATGACTTTGTGCTTTCATACATTTTGGGAGGGCTTGGCTAGGGAAGAGGTGAGTTAGGGTAGTTGGTGGAGTAAGCGTGGTGGTGATCAAGGGAGGAAGCAGACATGAGGGGACCTGGAGGGAACCTCTGCAAGGTGTTTGTACCTGGATAGACGGGTGGAAGGGGCTCTTCCCCTGAAGCAGAGCTGACCACTTGGCCAGTAAGGCTGGCTGATCCTGAGAGGCAGCAAGGAAAGAAGTAGACAGAACAGATGCAGTAAAAGGCAGTTAGTTGGCTAACTAAAAACGTAGCTGGTGTTAATGCAAATCACTAGGCGGGGTGAAATTCAAAGAGATGCCCACTTTGCAGCTTGGAGATGGAACTTCTTCAAAACACTCTGAAGCACACCTTGTCCAATCCTTCGGGAAACAAGGAAAACACGACATTGAGCTACTTTCTTCCCTTGTGAGGTCTCTGCTTGCTATGTCACTTCGGTCTCTTTCTACCTTATCTGCCTGCAAGAGAGGTGAGTGGGAGACCCAGGGCAGAGAGAGCGAGAGAGCAGGAACTGCAGTCGTCTCCGCAGGCTTTGCAATGCTGAAAAACAGCTTGTGGTGGCAGCCTCACAACCTTCTCCAGTCTACTAAAATGCGGTGTCCCTTTGCTGCAAGTGCCGTTTCTGAAAACAGGTATCTGCCTCCGAGAACTGAAGTGAGGAAAAAGTGAGGGAGAAATGGTGCCACCATTCGTTGGCTTCCCCCTCACCTTGCCACAAGGTCTGGAGACTTGTGGGGACATTTCGTTCCCTCTCTCTCCCCCCGCCCCACAGCTTGCCACCTAGCCAAGACCTGATGGGTTTCCCAATTTCCATAAGTCATCTCAAGGGCGACCCTGCCAGCGACCTCTAAGGCTGCTGGTTAATGTCAAACTAGCCTAGCCCCAAGCCAGGAATGTAGAAAGGGCACTTCAAAGGAGAACTATGGTCCCTGGGATTTTCGGCTACCCATATTGATCCCTGGGGCTGGGAATGATGATCATCAGTACTCACATGTTGCTAGTGTTTCAGTAGTCTGAACCAGCCTGCCTGATGTCTAAATAAGCCCTAACCCCCACCATTCTGAGTCTGTAGGTTCAGCCCCTTCTCACAGGTGCATGTCAATTAAAGTGTTACCTGGATATCACCATTTGCTGCACCCTCCCTCTAAGCATTCACCTGGAGTTAACTTAGCTGTAAGGTTACTAAGGGACGCGGGTGGCGCTGTGGGTTAAACCACAGAGCCTAGGGCTTGCCGATCAGAAGGTTGGCGGTTCGAATCCCCGCGATGGGGTGAGCTCCCGTTGCTCGGTCCCTGCTCCTGCCAACCTAGCAGTTCGAAAGCACGTCAAAGTACAAGTAGATAAATAGATACCGCTCTGGCGGGAAGGTAAATGGCGTTTCCGTGCGCTGCTCTGGTTCTCCAGAAGCGGCTTAGTCATGCTGGCCACATAACCCAGAAGCTGTACGCCGGCTCCCTCGGCCAATAAAGCGAGATGAGCGCCACAACCCCAGAGTCGGCCACGACTGGACCTAATGGTCAGGGGTCCCTTTACCTTTACCTAAGGTTACTAATGGTAAGAACTATGTACACCGCTTTGAGCTCTTTGGGGGGAAAGTGGGATTCAAATACATTAAATTAAAAAAAAAATGAAGGCAAGTTTCTCTCAAAAAAAGTTTAGCTCTTTAGCTGTAGCTATTTAGTCAGTTGACAAGAACCATTGCTGATTTGCAGAAATGAAACATTTTCTCCCTACAGCCTGCCTTCCAACCATTAAATATGAAACTGTGCCTTTCTGCGGATGCTTGCAAGAGTTATTTAAAAACTTCCTTTACAAAGGGTTGAAGTTTTAGGGGTTTTACTTACTAAATAGAACGAGAACTTTTATCAAATCATGGAATTGCCAAGGTAGAAGGAATATTGAAGACCACCCTCTCCACATCTCCCGACCTTGCACAAAAGCTTGCCATGCTCCACAACATCCCTTTGAAGAAAATGACCAGCCTATGATCACATCATTGCTATGCAGTGGCAGAAACTGACAAAACACGGATGTTTTTGTGCACTCCCCAGCATCTGGACATGGGAGAGGGGGGAGGTCGTATTTTATTACAGCCTCTGAAATAGCGAGACCTGGAAGGGTCTGGGCAGCAAATAGCCAACATGCAAGGAGGCTCCCAGGTAGCATCTGTTGTGAGCAGCAGACTCCTGACCATATCTGCTCCTACTGACCTTATCTGCTCCGTCTTACTGAACTCATACACCCAGCTAAGGAGGACTGCAGCCTCAGACCTAAGTTACCATCAACTGTAGTATATCTTCTTCACTCTTTTCAGAAGCTCATACTTTCTCTGGTACATAGTAGAACATCTCTGTGGCCAAAGTCATCCGTGTATTACCAGTGGTACCATCCATTCTCTTCAATCAGTTTCCACTGGCATTATGGTACACCCAGGGCAGATCTACGCTCACAGTTTATAACATTAAGGAAGGGTTAAGGAATGATTTTCCTAACATAGATAGATGGGCATGTTACGTTTTGCTTGTAACGTTAATAATGCGTCATTGAAATGTGACACCAGAGGGCGCTGCAGAGCAACCAGGAACTGGCAGCCGGGAAACTGGATTTTGACAGGCAAAAACAAGGGAAAGAACGTTTTAAATTAACAGTCTTTCCCGTGACGTTTTAGAACGATCTATCTAATGCCGTTCTAATAACGTTAAAAAGGTCTGCATGGATCCAGCCCCAGTTTTAATAATTGCAAGGAAGTATGCCTCTGATTGTAACTGATGGCTGAATACGAGTGGTAATAGAAGCCCATTCAGGGGGTATTGAGGTTATGAACCGGAAACAATGAAATCACCCTGAGTTCCAGCCTCTTCCTGCATCTTTTGGTTGTGCATCAGTCCTGCCTTCTGGCTTGCCCATTGGTTCTGAATTACGCCTTCATCCCACAACTCCTGGTTGCCCACAAACTGCTTCCCACACAACCCAGACCTTACACTGTCAGAGCAAGGAGCCAGAGGCACCAGGTGTGGCTTTAATCCTGCAGTCTATAATGGACAGATGGTGCTCCCATGAGGAGAAGGGTCCAGAACCGCTTGTGGACTCAGTGCACTACTACTACTACTACTACTAATAATAATAATAATAATAATAAATAAATTATTTATTACCCACCCATCTAGCTGCGTTTCCCCAGCCACTCTGGGCAGCTTCCAACAAAATATTAAAAAAACATTAAAACATCTGTCATTAAAAATTTCCCTAAACAGGGCTGCCTTCAGATGTCTTCTAAAATTCAGATAGTTGTTTATTTCCTTGGCATCTGATGGGAGGGCGTTCCACAGGGCGGGCGCCACCACCGAGAAGGCCTGGTTCAAGCCAAAGACCCCATGCACGCTTACCTTCATGTTTTCGTTATGAATCCCAGAGTTAGAAATCGCCTGGAAACGAGAATCCTTGTTGCTAATTTCGTTGGTAAGCCGTTGTATGATTTTTTGCACTTCATCCACAGTTTTGGCCACTGCTCGGTGCCTCAGGTCCACCTGCAGACAAAACCCAACATTCCTACTACAGTGGTGCCTCGCAAGACGAAATTAATCCGTTCCGTTAATCTCTTCGTCTTGCGGATTTTTCGTCTTGCGAAGCACGGCTATTAGCGGCTTAGCGGCTATTAACGGCTTAACGGCTTAGTGGCTATTAACGGCTTAGCGGCTTTAAGAAAAAGGAAACAAACTCGCAAGAACTTGCAAGACGTTTCGTCTTGCGAAGCAAGCCCATAGGGAAATTTGTCTTGCGGAACGACTCAAAAAATGGAAAACCCTTTCGTCTAGCAAGTTTTTCGTCTTGCGAGGCATTCGTCTTGCGGGGCACCACTGTATATTGTTTCAGACCCCAGACTATATAGAATCAGAGAATTGTAGACCCGGAAGGCAGTGGTGGAGGAAGGGGGTGGGGAGGGCGGTCTGCTCCTGGTGCCAGCCAGGGGGGGACGTCGCCGCGGGCAGGCGCCTCCCCCTTGGGATGCTTGCTCGGGCGGGCGCCACTCCATTGGGACGCCCCCAGGTACCAAAGCCCCTTCCTCTGCGACTGCCGGAAGGGACCCCCAAGGGGCATCTAGTCTGCAACTTAACCAAACAAAGCTCCTGAACCACAGACCTTCTGGAAGGCATATCATTGACGTGAACCTTGCTGTGTGTGCAGGTACACATGTATGTGAGTCTGGACGCAAATGGCACGGGAATTCCAGTTCGGAGGACGCTGTCCAGTTCAGTAGTTCTGCTAGTGGAAGGATTCTGTTTGTAGAACAGAACTTGCCTCCCCTCCCCAAATCTTTTGGGTTGGGGAAATATCTAAAGGGTTGTCCCCCTTTAGGTATTATTTACACGGTGGAGTTTCCTATGCTTAATTCTGAGTTGTTGTTTAGTCGTGTCCGACTCTTCCTGACCCCTGGACCAGAGCACGCCAGGCACTCCTGTCTTCAGTTATGAGTACTTACACCCAAATTTACTGGATCTTACATTTACTTGGCTGGATCTTTGAATTCATTTGTGTTCTTCATTGTATTGTGAAGCATCTAAAGCTATCACTTGAATTGCTTGGCCTTTTGTAAAAAGGAAACAAAAAATTGACACCCCCCCTTCCCCTCAAGGTTTATACACTTAGGTTACACTCCTTCATGCACCTGAGAAAGCAGACTTTTGCCCATGAAAGTGTCAGCTGCAATGAGATGATGATGATGATGATGATGATTTTGAATTTGTATACCACCCTTCATCTGTAAATCTCACGGCAGTTCACATCATAAAATTACAATTTTTAGGCATTAAGATGCTTCACAACTTTATTGCCCTATATATCAAATTTCTCTTTATTGCCCTATATATCGAATTTTTGGCATCTATGAACTGTAGGATAATCCGTGCTTTTCAGACCTGTTTTTAATATACTCTAGTTGGCTGCTGCCCTCCAATTCAGGGTGGGGATTTTTGTAAAAAACCCAACAAGAACCGTGTTCCTTCCTTCTCAAGAGGTGTCTTCTCACTGGGGCGAAGTTTTGTTTGTTGATAATCCCTTATTACATTGTGTTGACTATACTTAATTATATCATGGGTAGGGTCAAAGTCAATTAGATTTATTGTGTGACTATATAAAAAACAAGAAGAACAAGGTGTGCATCAAGAAATCAGAAGGTGGGGGAAAACACAAACGAAAACATGAGAAAGAATGAAGCTGCTTCTCATATACAGCTTCAAATGAGTGTGGATGTTGACTGTCTAATTTGATGGGGCAAAGTGGATTAACATAATGCCCAAATATGGACAAGCCCAAAGCGTCTTTCTGTTAATGCCCAGTTTGAGTAGTTACTGAGAAAATCAGGGCCAAATTAGACACAACAGCACAATATTTCCCACGTGTTTTGAAAAAGTAAGTGCAGCTGTGAACGGAAGGTGTCTTGGATCTGCAGGGCTTCTGGAAGGGGCTGAACCCTTTTCACTCTGCATTTTCCACGTTAAAATCCTGCCTCTGCAGGCAAGTTAATGAAGAAAGGCTTCCCACAGTTAAGAAAATCTGAAGGAACCCCCCACCAAATTATTCTAGCCATTGGTATCTCTCCATAGAGAGCATCTGCCCTGTTTGGCTCCAGCAGACAGACTAAAAACTACCACAGACCCTCTTGCATTTGTTCATAATGGTTTTACTGCAGATCCAAGATTGGGTACTTCAGAGCAGGAGACATTCCCAGGTTAGAGTTTGTTGATCCTTCCCAAAATTTCATTCAGTTGGTACTTTACCTGGAGAGTTCTACCCAGTGCCTTTTCTCCCCTATTAAAAAATGTTTATGGGTACAGTACTCTCGTTTTCCTACTCATATTGAAATACTGCCCCTCAATGAGGCCAAACTTAGATTCACAAAATGTTGAGGGGTGTGCGTCCCCCTGCGCCCCCCCCCACTGAAAAAAACACACTGGTTGTGCCTCATAAACATGAAAACAGAATGCCAAACCTTTCCAAAACAGAAGAGCCACAGGGTGAGAACTTCAATACATAACACACAATGTCCCTTACCTTATTCTGAATGTATTGCTCCACAGCTTCTTCTGCGAGTGGCTTCATGGCAGGGCTTGTCTTCAACGGATCTCCAAGGAAAATCCTCTGTGCCTGCAGGGCTTTCTTGACACTGACGCGGGGCAACAATCCCGGGGTTTTCACATGCGCTTTTCCTTGACTATTTCATTAAAAACCTTGTTTTTCCTGCATATGGAGAAGGAAAGCAAACCTTCTTTTTGTCCCGCATTACAGCACCCATGCGCAGCTTAGCACTTAAGGACATTCCCAATCCGACCCCCTCCAAAAAGAAAACGGGTTTGATTGTTTCCATTTTTAAAAATGCAAACAATCTTAACATGTGCAGAGTTTCAGAAAAGGCTAATCTTTTATGAAAAAGCAGCACACTTTCTCAGCCATTGCTGGCTGCCACAATACACTTCCTTGCTCAGTCAAGCTCTCTTGCCCATATCCTTTGCCAAATAAATCATCTTCCACCTCCCCCCCCCTCCCTTCTCTGCAACGGAGCCGTTGGTTTTATACACTTTGGCGTTGCAGTGCAAGGCCTCTGCTCCTTATCTCTCCTTTCTGCCTCCTGCGAGTATTGACTGTAAATGCCACACCATTTGGGCCTTGCCTGCCAGCGCGCTCGCCTTTCTTGACTGTAAACACAGACTAAGCCGCCTCTCGTTAGCTGCCAGCGGCCCAAACGAACAGAAGCGCACCCACCACAAATTGCTCAGGAAGGGAAAACAATTGATCGGGCTCTTTATCAATCAAAGCGGTTGTTTGTTTTTGCAAAAGCTTGCGTCAGAGGCGTGTGGTGCACAAGGCCAGAGATTCACTCCGAACAGTTGGGCTTGGCTTGGCAGCTTGCAGTCTCTTCACTGGATAGTCTTGCAGGGTCACAAGGGACTGGGAAGACCCAAACATCTGCAAATAAAAAAGGATTAGCACTCAGGGTGTTCCTGCAGCTTCCATGCCTCAACCACCCAAGACATTTGGACTGGAGTTGGCCGTTCTTGTCCCTAGCTCACTTCTGATGTTTTGGTCACGAGACAGATTGATGTGGGTTGCAAGACTAGAGGAAGAGTGATATGCAGAGAATCCCCCTTAGGGCTGAAAGTCAGATGCCTATCTTTCCAGCCTCTAAGACTAAGTCCTTCTGCCTCACCTGTGGTCTTTTCCTCCCACTGCTGAAAGCCACACACCCAAACCTTTGCCTGTCCGGACAAGATACATTTCTAAAGATACACTGCCAACCAGTGTCGACAATATTGAGCTAGATGGGTCAATGATCTGACTTGGTATAGGGGTGCTTCCTATGGAAAAGGGACGACGGTGGCACTGTGGTCCAAACCACTGAGCCTCTTGGGCTTGCTGATCAGAAGGTTGGCTGTTTGAATCCCTGCAACCGAGTGAGCTCCTGTTGCTCTGTCCCAGCTCCTGCCAACCTAGCAGTTCAAAAGCAGCCCAGTACGAGTAGATAAATAGGTATCGTTGCGGTAGGAAGGTAAACGGCGTTTCTGTGTGCTCTGGTTTCCGTCATAGTGTCCCGTTGCGCCAGAAGCGGCTTGGTCATGCTGGCCACATGACCTGGAAAGCTGTCTGTGGACAAACACTGGCTCCCTCGGCCTGAAAGCGAGATGAGCGCCGCAACCCCAGAGTCGCCTTTGACTGGACTTAACCTTCCAGAGGTCCTTTACCTTTACCTTTGGAAAAGACAGTCTACCTGGCAAAAATGTGCAACAAAGGGGGGAAATGTATGGACTGTTATGGAATACCACGAAAGCCCAGGCAACTCCCAACCATTTCCTGCAACTTTGAAAAGATAACATTTGGATTACTTTCAAGGCACCTTTGATGCCAGAGATCTAGCAACAGGATCACCACGATTTGCTAAACTGTAAAGTGTCAATAGCACCTGTGTATAGAGGGGGGACTTGCATTGGGATCTTAGCATGGGTCGGGGGGGGGGGGTTAATTCTTTCATGCTGTTTTCCTTATTAAAACGCCTTCCTCAAGCTGTCGCCCCCCCAAGCTGGACAAGACATTACAGCTATTGTTGCCATTAACACTTAAAACAAAGCAAAACCCCAGTAGATTCTGTTCACTGATGTTGCGTCTACTTTGGCTTTAAGACATAAGAAAATGTAAGGAAGGGATTTCTGTAAGTCAAGCTCTTAGCATGGTGGTATTTTGCCCTCTCTCCAGCATAGATATAGCATTCTCACAACTTTTCAGGGTAGGCTGGAGACAGAATAGATGTCAAAAACCATCCTGTTTTTATTTTTTTTATCCCCCCCCCCCGAAAGTGAGACGTGTTCCCGACAACAGAACCATATTGGAACACTTATCACCCCCATTCTCACCCCCACTGTACTACTTAGCTTCTTTTAATTGTTAGGGGACTGAATTTTAAAGCCTCACAGCCTATTTTAATAACTTGAATTTGGGGACTCTGCCCACCCCTTACCAAAGACCGAGTTCCTTAAGCGAAGGTCCTGTTCTTCAGTTTTACTACACTGTGCAGTCTTCCGTCACGGAGTATGCACTTCATTCTATAAATAGCAAAGGAGCATGTTTGACCTGGCTATTTTGAGGATGTTCCGCACATCATTTTTTCTTTTTAATGATTGGATGAGTCACGGGATGGAGGCTTGCAAACAGAGAGAGCTTTACAATGTTGTCGCTAATTCGTCGTGACAGCAGCAAAGTCATGTACCAAGGCCTTCTTCATTGCTGCCGACGACGGTAGATCAATATTTGTCAGCTCCATCAACTGGGCCTCCAGTGCTTTTTTGTTTGTTTGTTTGTTTAAACAACACACCTCAATCTGCCCTATAGATTGTTACTGCTATGTCAGTCTCAACTGCCGTAAAAAGGTGATTTCTTCTTTGGAGTAAGACTTCTCCTGGGAGCCCTGCAAAGATTTTGGAGGTTGCAAAATTTATCTTTGGGCAGAGCAATAAAGCTAAATGGGAAAGCGAGCTTAGATATAAAATAAAATGAGTTCATCCTAAATCTGTATTCAGAGAGAGAGCATGATTTCTTGCCACCAAGATGTAGACAAATGAAACTAGAACTGGAGTGTTGTTGCTGTTGTTAATAATAATAATAATAATAATAATAATAATAATAATAATAATTTGTTACTTATACCCCACCCATCTGGCTGGGTTTCCCTAGCCACTCTGGGCGGCTTCCAACAGAATATTAAAAACACGATCAAACATCAAACATTAAAAACTTCCCTAAACAGGGCTGCCTTCAGATGTATTCTATTTCTTTGACATCTGGTGGGAGGGCGTTCTACAGGGAGGGCGCCACTACCGAAAAGGCCCTCTGCTTGGTTCCCTGTAACTTTGCTTCTTGCAGTGAGGGAACTGCCAGAAGGCCCTCGGCGCTGGACCTCAGTGTCCGGGCAGAACGATGGGGGTGGAGACGCTCCTTCAGGTATACTGGGCCGAGGCCGTTTAGGGCTTTCAAGCTCAGCACCAACACTTTGAATTGTGCTCGGAAACGTCCTGGGAGCCACTGTAGGTCTTTCAGGACTGGTGTTATATGGTCTCTTGTTATTTATTAAATTTGTATATTGCCCTTCATCAGAAGATCTCGGAGCGTTCCACAGCATAAAAGCACAAAATACATAATAAAAACAAGATCAAACCAAAACAAACAAATAACTTCCTCTCAGAAACACCTTGAAAAGGACATAGAATTTGAACATTTGAATGCTGCATGTTCAGAATGCTATTGCAGGGAGAGAACTTCTTTAGAGTTTTGTGACTGATCTCAGGCCACTAAGCAATCCATGTCATTAAGGAGAGTTAACTGAGTCCTGCATAGGGCTGCCATAAGTCCGGGAATTGGGCAGGAAAATTGCGCCCGGGAAGATTATTGGTTTCTGGTTTGTCCAGGAAAACCATTCTGCTTCTTTTGCTATCCCTCAAAATTTAGAAACATAGGGAACCATATCATGGTTAGATTCATTTTTAAAGATTGTCCTCAGGGTCACCTTAGAGGCTTGGAGGGAAATGGCTTGCCTTCTCCCTTGTGGGCATCATCAGAAGGGCATCTCTCAGTTTGGGAAGGTCTTTTGACAAGATGCCCTCATCAGTGGGCCAACAACTTGGTTTTGGGGGGAGATGTCCCCCCCCCAAGTTTTTGGGAATATGGCAACCCTAGATGACCAGCTAGTATTTGGAATCAAAGACAACAGCATCAAGAGAAGTTTGCTAGAAGATTGTGAGCTCACCTTGGAAAAGGTCCTTGGAATTTTCAAAACATCTGAGTCAACAGAGCAGAGTATGCAAATATTACACAGCAGTATGCAAATATTACCCAATAGAAACCCAAGGAATTCTTTAAGCACCAGCTCACAAGACAATGCAAAAACCAAACAAAAACTTACCAAGCTCACAAATGCAACAGGGCAAGAGCTGGGAGAAAGCATAAAATTGTGCAATAAACCTGGCTGCTTTCATGAACTCATGCAATGGCCACACTATGGAAAATGTTTGCAAGAGACCACACTACTTGGCAAGGGTCTGTGCATGAATTATTGCAGCAGAGAGGTTGTTCAGGAATCCCTGAGCGCCAGTTGGATCTCGCCAGGACCCCAACTTTTATTGCCAATGAATCCTCCATGTACTCTGCCTCCCTGATGGCATATCTAGCTAAACTCGAAGTGCCTAAGCACCAGAGGACTTGGGCTCAATGTCATGCCCTCCCCTCGCCCTGTCCTTGAAGGCCGATACAGGAAGATTGCCTATCTGGAGAGGCAATGCCCCTGGGACTCTGGGCAAATAGAAACAAGAGAGCATGTGCTTCCCCCGTGTCTTTTATTATAGAGACATTCATACCAGCCTCATCTCCCCATCACTGCATAAGTACCCAGGGCGCACAGGACAATTCTATACCTCCCTTTTGCTTTCAGATACCAATCCTGCTACCACACACAATATTGCCAGATTCTGCACAGCAGCGCTCAAGATTCGACGGATGATGACCTGGGCCACAAACTAGACACAGTGGTACCTCTGTTTGCAAATAGCTTTGTTCCCGAACAACTAGTAACCGGAACGCTGTAAACCTGGAAGTAGGTGTTCCGGTTTTCGAACCTTGCCTTGGAAGCCGAACGTGCTCCTGAGCTTCTGTTTTCACTGGTGCGCAGCTCATTTGAGTCCCCCCCATCATAATTAAGGCTTTTTCCTCCCGTTTTTAGGCTTGCACAGCTAATTTAAGTCCCTCCCCATCGTAATTGAAGCCTTCCGTTTCTGATTGCAGTGTTCTGATGTGATATTTGGTGCTCTTGTTTTTGCTATTTTTTGTGTTTTTGTTTGTGTGTCTTTTTCATTTTTGTGCCTGTGGCTTGTTGTTCGTTTTATGTTTGATTGATTGATTGATTGATTGATTGATTGACTGACTGACTGTGGAAATGGATAAAAGCCCCCCCCCCCATGACTATCATCAGTGCAGGTCGGAAATGGTTTTAATTTTTATTTTTATCATATACAATACTGTCTTATTTCATAGTACAGAACATTGTCTATGGCTTTCATTTTATGGATCAACGGTCTTGTTAGATAGTAAAATTCATGTTAAATTGCTGTTTTAGGGGTTGTTTTTAAAAGTCTGGAATGGATTAATCCGTTTTGCATTACTTTCTATGGGAAAGTGCACCTTGGTTTTGGAACGCTTTGGTTTTGGAACAGACTTCCGGAACCGATTAAGTTTGAGAACTAAGGTACCACTGTATAATGAGCACTCGTATTAGAGTGCTCTGGAGACTAATAGCTGTGGTCTTATATATACTAGCCTTTTGTGCTCTTCCACTCGTCTGATGTTCCTAACCCTTCTTTTGGCTTTCTTAGCTTTTTTTTTGGATTCTTATGGAATATATATATATATATATATATATATATATATATATATTCTGTTTCAATTCCTTTTAGGGTTTTTAAAAACTTTTTTTGGTTAGATTTTAAATGATTTTTAAACTTGTTGCCTTGGAACTAGAAAGGAAAACACACTATAGGTCCTGCCACTTGCCAAGGGACCCCGGACCACTGGGACTGAACACACACATCCTGCCTCCCAGGAATAACTAGGACAAGGAGACTCATCTGGTCTCACCAATCTGAGAAATGGGTGTCTAAAACGACAGTCTGCTCCAATTGTCTGCTGTCCTTGGACTCCACAAGCAACGGGAAGGAACGCCCTGGACCCATCCATTGGCCAAAGGAACATGAGCTATAAGCTGCCATGTAAACAAGGAAAGGGCAGACTGGCCTGAACCAAATATAAATGCTCTCCTATAACCTAGCTCTTGTGTACTGGCCTTGAAGAACTGATCCCCCTCATTTTCCATATAAGTGTAACTTGCTTTTTGAGAACCATTCTTTCCTTGTGTGTCTTTTGTAAGCCTGATGGCAGGGCTTCTCTTCCACTGATGGGAACTGCTTTGGGAGAAAATAATACACACATACATACAATAAAATTGTAAGGATGTGGTCACTGCAGGACACATGGCCGCCAGAGGTGGTGTTGCAAACTACCATGAGACAACCAAGTGGGCTCTCAGAGCTTTTGGGTCATCAAAACAGTGTCAGATCCTGAGAAAGACAACGATGGAGATGGGCGAGCACAGCTTATTCTTCTATATGCTTAGTTGTTTTATCTTTAACAATACTCTCCACCTGCTTTCCTAGGACAGAAGTTAAACTAACCAGCCTATAATATACAGGATCCTCTCAGGCAGATCCCATCTGAAAAAACTGTGTTACATTGGTGACTCTCCAGTCCACAGGTATGGAGGCTGATCTGACACACAAGCTCAGCAATTTCACATTGGAGTTCTTTCAGAACTCTCAGGGGGCAATTTGTTGGTTTTTATTTTGTCTATTAGTATTGATTCCCCCCTTATCAATCCCTATTCTGATTATGGCAGAACTTGTGCCTTACCTGACAATCAGTTAACATTAGCCACATTCAGATTCTTACAATTTCAGAGTTTTAGTACATTTTTAATCCTGCAGTCAAGCTCCATCTTCTCCCTATAATATCTAAATTCTAAAGTATGCCAGCAAGTTCCTAGCTGTAGTTCTAGCCCTGCTCACCCTCACTCCAGCTGTGATGCTAAGCCAATCTTCTCATTTCAGTGGCTCCGGGCTGTTGCTAGCAGCAGTTTGCAGCATGTCGAGGGGAAGGTATTGATTCACACTGACAGTTCTAGCTTCCCAAGCCCTCTGGGATGGTGTCACTCTAAATGGAACTGCTTTCTACCTTGTCATTCCTTGCAGGGATGGGTATAAATATCTGGTCTCAAAGAAATCACTCCTTGTGCTAGCAGCAGGCAGGTGGATAAATCAGCATAAAACTGGGTAGGCAATATTGCAGATGGCCTTGTTTTTATTGAGGTTTTGGAAGTGGGAAAAGAGGGAAAAGGCACAAAGTAAGTCAAACACACGTTACACAGATTGTGCAAATCAAAGGCAGTTTTACAGCTTTCCAATACAGGAAAATATCTTAAGCCCTCAGGCTACAAGCCAAATCCTACACAAGTAAAATTGTCCTAATGAGTTTACATAGGTATGTAAAATTATAATCATACAGTTTTCAAAGATCATTAACATTTCCAGTGGGGCAAAGGTTTCCCTAGTGAATTTCTGTTTTAATTCTACTATATACTGTTATTATACGGGGCTGAAGCCAAATGATGCGAATAAATATTTTCAGGCAAGAGTGTCACCTTTCTGAGAGATCAGAAGCTGACTTGAAAACGGGGTTGCTGCTCATGATGTTAATTTTTGTCTCTGGGTCAAAAACCTGTTGAATGCAATGGAATAATATATGTAAAGTTCTTTAGAAACAAAGCTCTCACAGATTGCATTCAACTTTCGTAAACTTTGTCTACACCCTACCCTGCCTCTTAGTTTTTAAAATTCAGCAATTAATCTGGCAAATGTGAGGATGGGGAGCTGGGGAAACAAAACAAAAACACATCTGAACCAAGAGCATACTCAACTGTGACACAAACATATTTAAAAGGACAGGGCTAGCATGTATAGGAATGCAGTACATAGGAAGTTACACCTTTACCATTATAGAACAAGACGATGATTTTAGCAACACACAAAATACATTTGATAGCAAGAGTCTCTTTTCACATGTGTTAAGAAGTGTACATGCCCATATGTTTCCTGTATTCAGAGTGCCCCAAATTCTGTATTAAGAAACATAACAGCATTTACGGTTCATAAAAGCACCTTCAGGATAAAATCTCTGCACTGGCTCCACAGACATCTTTGAATGAGTTACAATTAACATTTCTGAAGTGGAAAGAAGCAGAAGTTCCAACAAAAGAAGAATGGATTTGAAAGTTATTGGCCTATGCTGAGATGGCGAAGTTGACAGCAAAAATAAAGAGATCGAAAAGATGAAATTTTAGTCAAAGAGCGGAGATTCTTTTTGGACTATTTAAGAAAAATTACAGTCAAATGAAATCGCGAGCAGGATTTGAATTCTAGGCAAGGGAAGGAGAAGAAATAAATTATTGTAATACAAGTTACAATATAAGGGAAAATAAATGGTAGATATGGCAGCAGATAAAGGATTACAATAGGAGAATCACGGACGTAAGGATGGGAAGTCAAAATGTAAGAAAGTATTGTATTGAATGTGAACTGAACAATGTCAAATTTTGTACAAAAAAACCTAATAAAACATTATTTTAAAAAAACCATTAACATTTCTGAATAGCTTATCATTTAGGGTTAAGAATGGCAAGCTCTGGCGAAGTACAGGAGCTGCAGACTGAATCTGATCCCACCAGTCAATCTGATCCTACCCAGTCAAGCCCTTTCATCTGTTAGCAAGGGGTCTTGTTTTGTTTTTTAAGTGCAGTACCATTTGTGTGACAAAACAGCAACTGATAGCATTTAAGGCATCAAGTTCCTTAAATTGGTCCCTAAAATATATATATATTTGGGGTAACTTGGAGAAGCTGTGAGCTCCTAATTGAGTTTGCCCTTTAGCCCCGTACTGAACATGCCCCCAAAGGAGCAAATTTATCAGTGACCGATTAAAGCAGACATTCCAGGGACTGATTTGGCTGTAGCCAGTTTGAGCTTCCCCTCAAGAGCCAGCTCTGCACCTTGCTCTTCCAGTCAACTATCCTGCTCCAGATTTGGCTAACATTAAGCCGTGGCTATATTAGATATCCACACAATAAAAATGTAACTTTTTCGAGATCTCGACATTTATTTCTTTGGCTAGGTGCTATCTGCAAAGTAATAAATCCTTCCAGAGACATTAAAGTGCTTATGAGAAAAAACAAACCTTCTCATTCCTCCCAGAGATTTCTCACCTTGAGGACTAATTCATATATACAGTGGGACCGCAGTCATCAGAACTCCATTCAATGGGACTCTACAACAGTTTAACTATATCAGGGCTTACGAAGTCCTAAACATTGTGTACAGTTTAAGCAACTTTTAAGCAAGAGAAACCAAAGTTCATTTTCTTATGTTAGATTTAATGAATTGGAACAGCCGTCTAAAAATAGTTAGGCTAGGAGAAGACACAGGTGAAAAGGCTTAGGAAGTGGTCCTCCCTGGATCTCCCATTCAGATGATGAAAGCAGCTGTGTTCCAGTAAGTTTCTCATATACAGTACTTTATTGCTTTGTAACAATGCCTCCAATGAAAAGGTCTAATGTCATCCAAAAGTGCTCCTCTCAAGACACGCAAAGCGAGGAAAGTGAGCACATACTCTTGTTTGGCCTGAGTGTGCTCCTTTCTACTAAGGCTCTCCTTCCTGGGCTTTGAAAAACTAAGAGAAAACTATCTACCTGCAAGTGGCCTGCCTTCTTCCGTCAAGACATTCCTTCCTGGCTTCCAGGCAAGGCATTCCATTTCCACTGTGCCAGATCATTTACTAATCCAGGTGTGTATGTGTGTGTACACACACGTGAATTTAGTATTTAAAGATGTATTATACGGCAACGCAAGCATTATCTCCAACAACTAATTGAAGCAAAAAAAACCGATCATTTGAGGATTTCAAAAAGTAGCATCACTACATCACTGATCATGATTTACCCATTTTAAAGGGTTTTTATATATTGGACCTGTTTCAGGCTCCCAATAACTTCTTTAAGCAGACTGTCTGTTTGAACTGATGAGGAAAGGTCAAAGGACAAACCAGTTAAAAGAGGACCTGCACACAAGAAGGAAAACCTACGAATCCAGATTTTTATTTGAATCTGCAAAAGCATTTTCCCTTACAGTGCAATTCTACACACACTGACCAAGGTGTGTCCCTCTAATTTCAACAGGATTTTACCCCTAGTAAGCATGCAGGCTTCCAAGTTCTCTCCTTTCTGGTGTAGTCTGACCCTAGCACTCACTGCACTCTTAATGCAGCTTATCTTAATGAAAAGACAAAAGGATAGCACCACTTTTCAATTTCAGGAGGAGGGATTTTCTGAAACCTCATAGCTCTGACTGAGCTTCTGTCCCTGAAAAAAAGGGACAACTTTCATAAGCCTTTCTACTTTTCCAACAACATCCCCCCCCCCCCGGTCTCCCCTGCCCTCCTGCATTTGTTAGGAGCAAATGGTTTTGAACGAACCAAAGCCCATCAGCTACAGAAGGGGGGGGGGAGGGAGGGAGGAGAGCTGTGTTGTGCCGACTGCCTGCTCCTACTCCCTGTCCTTACAGTGTGTTTGCATATTGGGAGGAATATAAAGCTCAGAAATAGACCTCCCCACTAAAATGAAACTATGATGAAAAATGCTGATGTATAAAATATTGTGAGCAGGGTGGGTAAAGGGAAAGTGGAATGTGTTGCTGCTGTTCACTTGTCAATAGGTGCCCATGAAACACATACAAGCTCAGCCTGGCCTTCCTAACTGGAGCTAAGTCCTAGGCAAGAGCATTGCTTTCTCAACAGACGCCAGGAAAATGTGCTTCTCCCGAAACCAAAAAGGCTACCTGGGGAAAACAAAATGCTATCAGATCTTCTGCGACTTGAGTCAAAAGTGAAACAACCAAACATCAAGTCCCTGCCCAGGAACATGAATATCTTTAGACACAAAATGTAGTAGAAAAATGCCTTCTAGTCTGTGAGTCTGGATTGATTAAAAAGAAGTTGATCCTGTGAAGATTGGTCCCTTTATAAAGCAGAGCATGAGCTTCAGTTAGTCTTGTAGAAACCTGCCAGCACAGATAGGCCTCCTACTGCTGTTTTAGTTTTGGTAAAAACAATTTGGAGCAACTACCGTGGTTGGAAAAGATCTCCTAACCTAGACCATGTCTTCCAGTTTTCTGCCTCAAGACAGGAAACCAAAGAAGTATCTAAAGCACCAAGAACTGCTGGCCCAGATGCCATTGACCATTTGTTCCCTAGTTAGTGTTAGGCACATCTCTGTTTCAAATGTGGAGCTGGGTTCAAAACGGAAGCTATCAGATCTTCACCAAGTTGAGAGAGGCAACGATACATGCTTCGTATCTAGGTGTAATCTTGAATCCGTCAAGACTGAACCCACTGAACACGATGACTGCATGAGCAGTAGGAAACCTTTCAATGGACACACAACCACCCTTGTCTTGCAGTCACAGGTGGTGATTGGAAAAGCTTTCAGGAGCTCCCATCTCAGGCCTCAAGTCTCTTCTCTCCCATTTAAATACAGGAGGGGAAAGGGAGCCGATGTAAGTATCAATATGCTTGAAGCACGGAGGAGATGGCACTGGGTGGATTATTGTGCAGCTCAAATTGCTCCTTTCTAAAGGGGAGGAAGAAATGTCTAGCGCTACACACAGCCGCACACTTCTGAAAAAGGAAAAGCTTCCTTGTAAACACAGAGCTGTAGTGCCTTGACAAGTAGAAACCAAACACAGATTGAATCCAAATTAGCAACACCTGCTAGACTTCCCTTCCATTTAACCAGCAAGAGGCAATTGCTCCTACCGTTTTTGTAAGGCAAGGGTAAGGCCAAAGAAGAATGAGTTACCTCACCTTGATGACTCCTTCACCAAAGGCGTACATGACAAATGGCACTGAAATATCCAAAAGAGGCAACGTAACAGGTCAACAAAGGCAAGTTAAAATAAAAACTTTTAAAACGAAGTTGTGAATCCACCATTACTGTGATTCAGTTGCCTTTTAAATCAGTTGGTCTGTATTACAGGTCTCTGTAGTCTTGCTCTGTTATATAGAACCATGCCTGATCCCCTTTCTGCATTACCCCAAGATTAAAATCACACACAATGCAGAACCACCAGGAATTGCATTGACAGCAAAAAATGCCACATCTTGCAGTACTTCACATTTCCCCCACTAAATAGTTAACAATGCCTCTCCACAATCAAGTTTCACCAGGGTAGCATAAAATCCAAGCTTAACAAACAGACCACTTCCAAGAAGTGAAGGGAAAAACCTGCAATAGATGCAGAAGAGAGCTGGCTAAACGTTGGGGCCGAGGATTCACAAGTGCTGTCAGACAATGCGTATCCTGCAAATGCCTTACTTGTCTATAAATCAGGAGCAGTCTACATCTGCCAGAGCTGTCACTGACAAGCAGTCATCCTATTTGCAAGAGCTGTCAACGGTGTCCTACTTTTCTCCTAAAAGCAGACACAATAGTGCGGTTCTTCTGCTCACTGATTGCTCCTGGCTTTTAGGTTTGTTCAGATAAAGCTGGCTGGATAATTCATAAAGGACACAGCATTTAACAGAAGTGTTTTATCCATCACTTGATCATTTGAGTCTCTTCATCAGCATCATAGAACTCTTCATCTTCACTTCCACTCCCCGCTGAACTATCGTGGTCAGACTAGAAGGAAAATGAGATTCTGATATCAGAGCTATCCTTCACCAAATTTCGAGTAAAATGTTTCAGATGATTAATCTCAGCCTTGCAAGACTATTCACTAGGTCATTATCAGTTTCCACCAGGCCTTTCTAACCCAGCTTCAACCCAAACCTCCATATGGGATAATACAAAAGTGGATAATACTAAAGTCCCCCCACCCCCAAATCAAGGAGTGTATAAATCTTACGAAATAAAGCATAGTGAGCGTTTTCAGCACTCTATAAAGAACATTAAAATGTCATTACTATTGCTGCAAACAGGACAACCTGGGCAACACGATTATGGCACCTTTGAGGCTCACCTCTTATAATCAAGAATAAGAAGCCACTGACTTTTACAAAGCACAGAGCAGGCAAGTGACTGCATTTCTTCCTGAACTGGCTATCACTTTGTACTCTTAAGGAGAGAGGCGCTCAACCTATCTGGCACCACTGATTTCCCCTTCCCAAACCTCCACAGCTCTGATCGACAATAAAATGGCAGCCAAACCCTGCTGCCAGTCAATTTTGCTTCCTTCATCGCTGACAGAGGGCTTTGGGCTCGACCTTTCTGTTTCTTGTTGCTGAGTAGGACAGGACATTTGTAGACACAATAAGCATGCCAGAACACTCTTCCTTCATGGTGGCTGCTCCCCTTCCTCTAGGAAATGCTGTCTTCACATGTTCAACAGCATGAGGGTCTCCTGTTGTTTCTCTCCAACTTAATATTCTTTTGTGGGGGGCCAATGAGAAGAATGAATAGGTAACAGTTGCTATCCTTTGAAATAAAGGAGGAAGCAGGCTCTGATCTAAAGCTGGCAGCCAGAGAGAAAGTGGCTATTTGTCTGGGATGTAGTCAGTTGCCTGGCAGTTAACATATCTAAAAGGCACAACTAAATATTTAATATCTCCTCCTTGGAGCCCATCTGCAGTGGCAGACACTACATAACCCTAAAGAAGCTGGGACTTCCTATTCAACTTGACAGCTTTTGTAACAGGAGGGGAACTGGCAAAGGTTCATACCCGTGAGCTTTCCATTGTTTGCAGCGAAACAGCTTCATCTCCTAGCCGCCGATACGAGCAAACCTGTAGATCAGATATCGTCTCCAGCAGGGGGCTATTTAGGGTTTCTGGCAATAACAGACTCAGAAGACCAGCGAACAAGCCCGCCACACCAAACACAATATATGGCAGAGACCCTTGCACAGATTTCTGTAAAAAAAGAAAAGAAAGAACAAATATAACAAACAGCAGCAGTAGTAGCTAGGGCTCAAATATGTTCATGTTAATCATGAAATTATGGTGCAAGGACATAACAGCTATTCAATCTTCTTTCAGCTGTTCTGCACTGGCAAAGCACACGTTGGGCCAGTTACAGGCTGCAACTGCAGCGAAACAACCACACACAACAGCATGAGAATTTGCAGCGACCCACTAGAGGAGTCACATCTTCAACACATCTACTGGTCATGTGAAAAAGGTAAAGGTAAAGGACCCCTGACAGTTAAGTCCAGTCGCAGACGACTCTGGGGTTGCAGTGCTCATCTCGCTTTACAGGCTGAGGGAGCCGGCGTTTGTCCGCAGACAATTTTTCCGGGTCATGTGGTCAGCATGACTAAGCCGCTTCTGGTGCAATGGAGCACCGACACCAGAGCAGCGCACAGAAACACCATTTACCTTCCCGCCGGAGCAGTACCTATTTATCTACTTGCATTTTTGGGTGTGCTTTCGAACTGCTAGGTTGGCAGGAGTTGGGACAGAGCAACGGGAGCTCACCCTGCCGCGGGGATTCAAACCGCCGACCTTCTGATCGGCAAGCCCAAAAGGCTCAGTGGTTTAGCCCACAGCGCCACCCGCGTCCCTATTGGTCATGTGAACTGACCCCAAATTATGCATGCAGAGACAACAAAAATTGGGTAGTGCAAGAGCACAGTTACAAAAACGGAGTCTGGAGAGAGGGATAGTATGGAAGAGAGGGGAGACAGAAGAACCAGACCCAGACATCTATGCCCTAGCCACACCTGTCAGGGTCAAGGGTGGAAGGAACAGAACAACTCTCATGACATTACAAAAACTCTCTGAAGGAGCTCTGGCTCCCACGCTACTCTCACAAATATGAACAGGGAGAGCTGCCAAAGAGAGGCAGTAGAACAGTCAACGAAGCAGCCACATTGGGGAGGGTGCGGGGCTCAACTGAGAGAGCACACACTCTCACCAATATTTCCGGTTTTAAAAGATCTCAAATGGCAACATTCTTGAAGAGCTGCTGGCAAGCACAGCAGTGAGAACTTGACTAAACAGGCCAATGGACTGAGCCTTTACAAGGTGGCTTTGTTCATCTATTTTCAACAGGTCCACCAGCTGCAGGTGGCCCACCTGAATGCTTAGGCAGCTCTGCATTGCCTTTTCCCTCCCCTATCCCTTTCTCTCACACACCTCTTTATTCACAGGAAACTATCACTACAGCTTTATCATGTGCAAGGGGAGTTTAGGACTCTTCAAAGTTGCATCAGCCAGCAAAAGTCGTGTCTACCCCAAAGCCAACTCTCCCACGCACCTGGCAATTTTCAAGAATTCTGAACGTCAGAGTCAAAGCCAAATTGAAGACACGCAAAATGTACTTTGCATTTTGCTACTGTCCAGTTGGGGGAAGGCGTGGGTAAGAGAAGGAAAAATTGGTACAAACCAAAGACGGAACAAAAGGAGCGATGATCCCACCAATTCGGGAGAACATGGAGCAGGCTCCCATTCCAACATTCCTGCGGGAAATAAAACAGTTACATTTACATGAAGCATTTTTCCTTAAGTAATGTAGGCTTAGGACTAAGCTTTCAAGTCCTGAAGAGTACCTGCAGATTGCTGAAAATATCTATTTAATAAGCCTGACGATGCTCCGCAATGTGGCCTCAGGTGGTTCTCTGTGAGGCTCCATAGCCCTCCTCACCCCTATGATTGTGGCACATTTCAATGGTGAGGGCTTTAGGCAACTTGTAAAGACATTACTTAGTCAAGCATTTGCTTAACTGACTGGAGGCAATGGTCTGTCACTCTTGTGGTGCTATGATGTACTTTTGATTTATTGATGTGGTTTAGTTTTTTTTATATTGTATTATTATGCATTACCAATTTTTACATCCTGCTCTGGGATAATTTTAATGAAGACTGGGCTATAAATCACCTAAATAAATATATATATTATTGACTGAGGTGGATTCAAGGGAGGCTGAAGGAGAAATAGAATGAATTGTTTTGTGCAGGGGTAGAATGTTGCCTGTTTTCTAATGAAAAATCTGCTTTGGATGGCTGTTCAACCTCCTGGCAGAGAAATTCTGCTCTGCCTGAATCCTTTGCCTCTGAAGACGGTGCCTAGCACAGAAAATGGTGCACAGAATGCCTTCCCCCTTCCACATCAGTTACTCCCAAGTCGCCACATATGGGAGATAAGCATCATTCTCCTTTGAATGCTGCTGAGCTCTCCAGAAGTTTTGCATGAGTTCTGCACGTTCCCTGGCATGGAAGGACTCAAAAGTAGACTTGATAAGAGATACACCCCTGATGGCAGCAGGAATTGGCTTCCCAGTACAGTGGAAGCTGAAGCAGCTCCGCCTGGTCTGGAGCAGAATGAATGAGTTTGCAGTGGAAGCTGCCAGTGGACGGCTCAGCCACAGAACTGGAAGGCGGCTTTTTTGCTTAAGGCTGTTTGACGCTGTGTCCTCCTCTTCTTTTTTTAACAGCTCCTGCTTCTTGTGTGACCAACTGAGCCACAAGCAAAAAAGAAGCCATTTTTTTAAAAAAGGGAGAAGGCAGTAAAACAGAAGGAGAAAGTAGTTTGTCACTTTTTAAGGAAGAACAGCCAATGTTAAAATGAGGAGGGAAACTGAGTTCTAAGAGAGGTTGAACAGAAGCTCAGTCCCAGGCAAAGGCAAAGGAACATACTTGGGAGAAGCCTAGAGGAGAGGATGCAGCACAGAGAGTTAGTCACATGTTCCTTGCCTTCCTGGGTAGCAGAAGGGCTTAACACATTCCTTTCTGAATGCCTTCTTAATCCCAGAGAAACAACAAACTCCTTTAGTATTTCTGTATGGACTCCTTGGACTAAATAATAAAGGTGTGGGATGTATCATAACTGAAGCAGTCAAATACAACATTTCCTGTTGCCTAGAGTGGACACCCAGGAGAATGTTGCTCCAGAAGGGAGGACTTCCTGCCATACCTGCTCTGGAGCCTCCTCCCCCTGTGTGTGACCAGGTAGATGGGCGTGACCCTAGCAGACCCTACAAGAGGGCTAGTGACGCAGCCATCTTCCTCTTTTCACCATTTACCATTTTCTACTTTCGGACTCCTCTGCTGGCTCTTAGCCAGCAGCACAAGGCTCATCCGTACAGAGGATGGAAGTCACAAGGTAGAAAGTCTGAGGCCTAGCTCAGACTTCTTTTCTCTACAGATGTAACTGTAACTACAAGATAAAGCCTGCCTTCAGGATACTACCGTGAACTGAAAGTACCATTACTTTTAAAGAAGACTGCCGTGTTATTATTCTTTTTAAGAGGGAAATAAAGGGGAAATTTACCAGGAACAATCCAGACTGGACAAGCCAGACTGGATTGCTTAACTTAAATGATTCTCGCGAATCCATCAACTAGCTTCCTGAAACGTACAAGGAAATGTGCTCTGCTCCTTGCTCACTAGCATGAGTGAGGAGGGATAATATTCAATCAGTATATCCTCTCCTACTTTCCTCAACATTCCCACAAAAGGAAGCTAACATTCAAGTGAATTTCTTTGGCTAAACAGGGGTGTTCACATTTAAATTTTGCATTTGGGAATGGGGAGAAGTCGAATTCTCATCTGCAAGCCCCTCAGGGAAAGGACCTGCAGTTATAGAGAGATACTGCAACCCACCCTAAAAACAAGGACCTATGAATTTAAACTGAATGGTGCCTCCCAAGAAGAAGAAAAGTCAGGTGGTCTCATATAGACAACAGAAGCCGCCAAACTGAACCTGTCTTACCTGATCACTGTAGGATAAAGTTCTGATGTGTAGATATAGACAATGTTAAATGCTGCACTGATGGTCAGTTTTCCCAGTAAAGACAATGAGTGGCTGTTTACAATGGCAAACACTCCTGTAGCTGTTGGGGGAGAAATGCAAAGCTTGTAAAGATGCTGTAGTAAGGAAGGATGGCCTTTTGGCTTTAGGCTGAAAGTTGAACCCCCCCCCCCGCCCCCTTGCTAGGCAACAGGAAAACCAGCCTGTTCCCATTTTATCAAAGGAGGAGGAGTTTCAGGGAGCCTGTTTGACAGAAAGCACACTCTGGTCAAACGGCCACCTGGCCTTGTACTGGGGAACTGAAGAGAAGCGCCATTTAATGTTGTGTTCACAGAAGAGGAACGGTTCCCTTCATGGTGTCCAACTAAGATTTACTCAGAAGAGACCCAGTGAACATGACCAAGTCTTCTGCTGCAGGCTCAAGAGGAGACACTCTTAGAGAGGCTGGACTTGGGAATTAGATGGGGTACATTTTTAACTACTTCTCAAGCTTCTAAGATCAGATATTTATTGTGTGTCTGGTTCCAGCTGCTCAAGGCAAAACTCCCCATATAAGCAGCTGGAGATTGCTGCTCCCCTACAGATTTGAGAAAGGCTTCACTGCAAGATGTTGGGCTCCTGCAGTCTGCTCCGTAGTTAAAAGAACAACACTTTTACCTTTCTTTTGTGGAAGAAACATGACGATAAGAGAGGCCAGTCCTCCCAGGAACAAAAATGCTGCAAGCGTCCGTTTACGGCCAAACCTGAAGAACCGGAAAGAGAGAGAACAATGAAAATGCAAAGCTAGTAGAAAACAAGCTCCCTTTACATCCAGGGCTTCAGTGCAGGAAGCCTATTACTCTTCAGTCAACGAAGTTATTCCAGATTTTTGAAGAGAAGCAGAGATAAAGATAAGTATCTCTTAGAATGTCAAAATCATCTCAGGCACCTATTACCCAAATTCCTAATTACCACTTGTCACCATCATCGTCAACAACAAAAACTTTAAAAGGAGTCACCAGGAAAGAAAATTGAACTAGGATTTCTTATTAGGTTTTGTTTTGTTTAGGTCTTAACTTGAAACACCCACTACGGGTGTTAAATTAGGAGAGCAAACCTAGGAAGACTTGTGCTGTCACCAATTACTATCGTTGGGAGTCATCATAAACCTACTAGATCTTCTATATTCTGTTCCCTTTGGGGCCCATTTATAGTAATTCCTCTATACCTGTGCATGAATGCTTCATGAGATATACTACTTCATGCACCATCATGTCAGGTTGTCACATCATGTGCCACTTAATGCCAAGTGATGTGAAACACCATGTCATGTCACATCGTGAGATTCGTCATGTGCCAGGTCTTGCAATATACCTCATGTGACGAGACACACCACAACACCACCTCAAGAGATATATGCATGCCACATTCACAATATTTCAGTCTTTAAAGTGCTACAAAACTCTTTGTAGTGTTTCCTGCAATGGACTAACAAGGCTACCCCTCTGGAGCTTGACAAAAAAAGTTTTTCATGCACGCTGCATTCCCACATGTATTGGTTTAATTTATGCCCAGTATCTTTTATGCCAGTATCTTCTTATTCACCTTTCCTTGGGGATCGACCTCAATTATTTTCAAATGAAGAAATACAAGCACCTCCCACGCTAGAGGAAAATAGTATAGCATTGCTTACTGCAGAAGAACAGAGTCAGGCTAAGTAGCACACACAGCAATGAAACTGATAATCGTGAGAAAGATGACCAGGCTAGAGGGCTGATTACATGAATAACGTCTACCTAGGAGAGGGGGCGTACGTGCGCAGACCCGCAGAAGAGGGAATCTCTTGAGGTGATTTCTTGCCTCCCCCTTCCTCTGGATGGGACAGGATCTTTCGAGATCTCTTCCTGCCGCCTGCTTTTTCTAATTCTCTCCTTTCCCCCTTCTCACCAGGAGGTAGCCACAACCTCACCCACTGCTGCTGCCACTCAAAAGAAAGAAAGAAAGAAAGAAAGAAAGAAAGAAAGAAAGAAAGAAAGAGGTAAAAAAGAAATTTATCTAGCATTCCAACACTCACCATTTTCGGCCAATCAAGTAGATGCAGAGAGGGTATGCTGGAATCTCTATTAGCCCAGAAAGAGCCAGGTTGGCATAGACACTGCCACCCAGGTCACCCACATTGAGAGTAAGACCGTAATAAACCAAGCTGCATACGAACCTGTAGCGAGTAAAAAGGAAGAGATGTAAAATGCAAAGTTGCTTCTTCTAGTTTTCTGCCTATAGAGTAGCTGTAACCTTGAACTCAGAGAAGGATGTTATGCTTTAGGCATGGAACTTATTGACTGGGGCTTCTCAATATTTATTTTTATTTATTTAATTTTATTTATATCCTGCCCTCCCCGGCCAAGACCGGGCTCAGGGAGGCTAACATCAGGTATGAAAACAATTGATTAAAATACAACTTAAAAACAAGATTAAAACACTACTTAAAATGCAGCCTCATTTCAGTGGAAGCCCAGATCAAAAACTGTTTGGGGGGAGAAAACGTCAAATCTTCACCAAGGCCAACTATCCAGACTGGTCCTCCATGGGCCAGAAAAGCCAGGGAAGTCCCAAGATAGGGGTCTATTCCTTTTCACAGAAGGAAAAGGAAAGAGGGGGAGGGTATGAGGCTGGCTCCAAGCCAAAGGCCAGGCGGAACAACTCTGTCTCACAGGCCCTGCAGAAAGAAATCAGATCCCGCAGGGCCCTGGTCTCATGAGGCAGAGCGTTCCACCAGGCCGGAGCCAGTGTTGAAAAGGCCCTGCCTCTGGTTGAGGCTAATCTGACTTCCTTAGGGCCCAGGACCTCTAGAGTGTTGCTATTTATGGACCTTAAGGTCCTCCGCGGGGCATACCAGGAGAGGCAGTCCCGTAGGTACAAGAGTCCTAGGCCGCAAAGGGCTTTTAAGGTCAAGTACAATATCAGCATAACAAATGCATGATCAAGGCAATATAAATACGAATTACATTTTGGCATTGGGTATCTAAAGCATTTCCAGGCAGGGTATTTTTTTATTATTATTTTTAGATTATCAGGTCCACTGAATCAGCACCCGGGGACCCTTGAGCGATCCTTGCTAGTCTAAATGACAGGCTTGAAAATAGCAGACCTGTGCAGCTAAAAGTCCAGAAAAAGCACACTAAACATCCACACCCCCTGGCACCTCCCTCCTTCGGTGTTCTCCAGTTGCCTTCCATGGGAGAAACTGCTTTCTTTACAAGCACCTAAAGCCAACCTTTCCATTCAGATCACTGAACCTCCAAGTCTTATTTCTTTTATTAAACAAAACAAAAAAAGGTTCTGCTTTGATCCAGACAACACAAACCACATTTGCACATGTCAGTGGTCTTCCAGCTATTTAACAAAGAGACATTACTCAAACTGTCTTGTAAGATTTGTATTAAAATGTCAAGCCACATGGAAAATGTGCCCACAAAATGATTTTTACTCTACCATTCAAGGACCACTTGGTCTTTGTGTAATTATGTACTAAAATAATCCCACAGGCTCTGATCTTCGATATTCTACAGGTTTTTTTTTTTGTTCTTGTAAAAAATATTTAAAAGCATAAAACTCCAAACGGGTTTTGCAGTGTTTTTTTTAAAAAGAGTTTGGGGCTGTAACATATTTTCTCCCAGAAAGACAGAACATGCCTATCTTGTTGTATTTGAACAGTACAGTAGTAGCAATTTCAAAATCAGATCAAAAGATAGCATAAGTACCAGATGAACATCATGATCAGAGTACGTCCCAAAAGGATCTTGTACCGGAACAGGTCCAGGATGCTACTGGTCTCTTTATAACTCCGTTCAGTAGGGAGTTTAAGGGAAAAAGTGCACTTTGGTTTGCGGTTCCTCTTTGCAATGAGGTAGAGGGAATCTTCCGCTTCACTCAGCCGTCCTTGTGAATACAACCACCGAGGTGATTCAGGAATGAATCTACAAAGGACAAAAACATTCCCCAGATGGCGTTAAGAGTCGTTTTACTACTCAATATTGGCACTTCTGGTAAAAAGGAAAAAAGCACAATCATTAACAAGTTTTATACTGCAAATAGACTTCAATCTTTGCCGCTTTGCACAGGGATAAACAAGACCAGTTTTGTAGGATTGCAGCTCACAACCATGCACTGAATGCAGCCATGTTAAGCTAATTTAGGAAAATTCTGAATGTGCAAACGTAAACTTAATACAGAACTTGAAAAAGTAGTGTGAAAGCAGTGGTATGGAAAAGTATTGAGAATAGCACTTGACACTGACACAGTTCATCTCCCTACTATTCAAAATACGCATATTCTGTAATAACAATACAAATAATAAATTATCATCGTCATAATATTCTGTAATGAACATGTATTTTTATTTAAAAATTGTAGATCACATATATCATCAACATTCTCAGTCAGATGCTAAGATTCCTTGCTTCCCTTTTATTATCAGTGGTATTTGGCCATAGATAGACTGAACAAAATATATCCTTCAGTTCAGGACAAGAGTTGGAGATATAGTATGTCACAAGTGGATTTTTCATATATTTTGGAGTTGCACAACAATTCAGGTATATTGGAACACAATTTTAAGTTCATTTCAGAAGTATTAGAATATCAGATAACAATAAAGTTTTTGGATTATTAGGTAAGTTATTTAAAGGATGTAATTCTTGAACACAATATGGAAGTAACAGTAAATTTATTATTTGCAGCAAAGATAAATATTGCAAAAGTCGGGGGGGGGGGGGCTCAGTTCCTTCCATTTCAGAATGTGTCAAAAATATCTGGGATGTTTTGGTGTTATCTGTCAACATACTACATAAGAGAGGCAACACTATATAGATTTTTTAGAGTGCTAGGTAATGGTGATTGTGTTTTAGAACAAGTTTCAGTAGAATATGCATATGTACAATTTATTTACATTATTGTAAAACGATTATTATTTTATTATACTTTTAGATTTAAAAGAGATTACTTCTTTCCTTTTTCAAGTATTTCTTTATTTCATAACCTATTATGACTATTTTGACCTACTTAAAGTATTTATGAATTAAACTATGCTTGTAATTACTTATATCTGCAGTAGAGCCTAAGCCTCTTTAATCCCAGGGTCAGGGGTTCGAGCCCCACATTGGGTGAAAGATTCCTGCATTGCAGGGGGTTGGACTAGATCAGTGTTTCCCAACCTTGGGCCTCCAGCTGTTTTTGAACTACAACTCCCATCATCCCTGACTAGCAAGACCAGTGGCAAGGGATGATGGGAATTGTAGTCCAAAAACAGCTGGAGGCCCAAGGTTGGGAAACACTGGACTAGATGACCCCCATTGCCCCTTCCAACTCTACAATTCTATTCTTTAATTCAGTCTGCAACCCTCTGCACACTTACCTTGGAGGAAACCCTGTTGAACATAGTAGAACTTATTTCTGAGTAAGTGTGTACAAAATTGCACTGTATTGAAAACCTTAAAACTAGTAGTATGGTCTTCGAAATGATTAATCACATAATTATTTGGGAAATACATTCTCCCTGAACCTTTAATTTGTCAAGCTACTCTGCACCCAATAAGACTAGAAACATTTTTGAAGAAGAAATTACGACATTTCAGATAGAGTCTGGATTGCACAGATGTATCTTGGGAAAGGCCTTCACATTATTTGCATTTAGCAATCAGGCTGCTGCTAATTTTTGAAGATTATAGGTGCCTGTGGACTTCTATCCACTGTGCTATCATAAGCAAGGGAGCAACTTCAATTCACTAAAGCCTCCTGCAATCAACCAAATAATGCTATGCAAAATAAAGGAAAACCACAATGGGCAAATGTAAAACCTGGGTCTTGTACTAGGAACCACATTGCGCTCAAAGATTATGCATTGCTTGACCATGCTCTATCCTGCCACCAGCATATGACTGAATGGCGGGTGTGCACTAGCACCCCCCCCAAAAAAAAAACAGACTTGGGCTTCTCCAGATAAAGTCACTGCAGCCTTATTGAAATCATCCATTTTTCATTGCTGCTTGAAGTTTTCAATTTGTACAAGACAAGCATGGGAAACACTTCCAGCCCGTAGGGCAAATTAGGCTGATGGAGGTCCTAATTTGGCCCACGAAGCCATTTCCCCCAAGCCACGCCCACATGTCGTCAGGTGTGGGGCAGCCACAGATAAAGATGCCTTTGCAAAGGAACAGTGAGGGGCCTTCAAGTGCACTCCCTGTGCCTTTTAAATTTGGTGTCAAATGCAAACCCAACTGGAATCAGCCTCCCACATCCATCATCAGGGCCCATGGAGGAACTTCCCCACCTGGTCAGGTAATTTCATATGTAACACCGAGGCAACCAAGACCGTTTGCTAAATACATCCAGCCACTCACTCTCTGTCTCTCTCACACATGTAACCTTTCAAGTGAACTCTTTCAACAAGGAAAAGTCAGTTTTGGTGGACATGTACTTCCTACATCAATCAAGCACCTTCCCTACCACCCAAAATTCCAGAGCAGTTTTGCAACTGATTTTCAAACTTTTTTCTCCTCATTTGAATGAATAAGCAAATTTATATGCATCATCAAAAAAAAGTGAAAGAAATAAGCAACTTGCTAGAAGCACGAGAGAGGCAAGACTGAAGGCTGATGCAGTGCTCAACTTAATGTGTGTCTGTATATTACAGATGTCAATGCCAGTTTATAATGTAGATGAAATGTCTCTTGCAAACGCTCTTCAAATCCTACGTCTGTCTTCATCCTAACAGGTGTCCGCCTCTATGTAACTGAAAGCCTACCTCTAAAGCAGTGGCTACAGATGACATTAGGGGAAAGAAGTCTGAAGCTTACAGCTTATGAAATCTTGGGACAGGTGGCAAGTAACTTGGATGATCAGAACTTGGCAGAGTTTATCAGAACATAAAGGAAGGAAGACCAAGCAGGAAAAAGCCACACAATGGCACTTAAAATGGTTGGAATCTGGCAAGGCAGCAACACTTCAAAGACAGATTTAAGGGAGCAGAGGGGATAAAACTAACAAGACAAAAGGTGATGCTGTCGCACAAGGCCAAGGTCAACCCTATGCTGTGTGAACAGGAGCAGTGTTGGCACAATTCTGTAGTATTCCTTTTCCCTTTAGCACTGCTAAAACCACATCCTGAATCTTTGTGTTCAGTTCTGGGGAGCACACGTCAAGACAGACACTGAAAAGGATTCTAAGGACTGTTAAGATGAAAGAGTCTAGAAATATCCTATGAGAAGAGGCTAAATCTATGTCCAGGCTTAGAGAAAGTAGGTTCAGGGAAAGTAGAAATCAAGCAACTTAAAATACTTTAAAGGGGTGCAAGAAAGAGAGATAACTACTACTTCTATTCAGCGATAAGTGATTTTCACACCTTTTCATGAACACCACCAGAACAATTTTAAGGTAGGTAACTTACAGAGACAGGAGGAAGACTACTGTTCCCTCCAGGTTAACCACAACTGCTAGTATTCTCCAGGAGCGAATGAGATATCCTAACAAAGCATACTGGGCAATTCCCACAGCAAAGAAGAGGCCACCAACTGATCCTAACATAAGGCAGACAGGGAAAAAAGAGTTATTGACCATTTAATGATGTTTGCTAACACAAAACAGACAGGCAAAGAAGGCTACCTGAAGAAAGATGCAAAGATAAAGATAATTTAAGATGGAAAGAGAAGACAAATTATGCTACAACCTGTTCTTAAAATCACTATTTGTGAGGTCTTCCTAAAAACAAAAACAAAAAAAAAGGTCAACAACTTTGCGGGTGAAATGGCATGAGCAGAACTGGACTGAGAATTTTAGGCAGTGTGACACGTGATATATTAGGTATGTTATCCTCATCCTACAGAGGCTAAAGTTTGTGCTAATATTTTAAATGTGTAAGAATCAGAATGCTTAGCATTTTACAACAGAAAATTTGCAGAGCTTTGTGGCTGAAGGATCAATCGTATGCATACAGGGAACATAAACTACTTCACACGTTACAGTTGGAGGATACACCATGACCATAACATGCAAGCTATTATTTTTTTTTACCCTGTCAACAAACTGATGGAAGCAAGAGCAAGTCTCAGCTTCCAACAAAAGCATGTGTGCACATGGTAATCAATCAATCAATTAATCAATGGCTGGATGCATACAGATTACCTGGATGTGCCTGTCAATCTCATAATGTATAAAGCAGTTCTCAAACATGAATTAAAATTTGGATTTGCTGCCAGATTTTTTTTAAGCTTTTAATATCAAGATCAGTAATTAAATGTTGTACCTGCCAAAGCCCAATAAGCAGTGCCCACACATTCGTTCAGGAGGACAAAAGCCACTAATGACATCCCGCCATTCATTACTCCCACCAAGAAGCGAGAGACTGCAAAGAACTCGTACGAAGGGGAGAATCCATTAGCAACAGCAAACAAAATGTCAAGGGCAAAACCTGGAAGGCAAACAAAAATTTCCTTCAGAACATCTCCCAAGAAGTAAATGGTGGTTGTTGTTTTTTCCCCTTTTTCCAAAGTTAGCCACTGTGGACACAGTGCAATATTTTAATGCAGTTCTGCTTGGTTGCTCAAGAAAGCACATGTAGTGTTTGTTCATGAAAAATATAGCTGACCGTATCTTACACAAAAGTTCTCTCTACATATGATGGGATACGCTGTCTGGTCGTTTTATGGATAAGACACACCCGATGGAGGGAATCATGTTTTACAATTATCCTCTCTCTTTTTAAAAATAAGCAGCTCCCATATCTTTAAATGGATTCTAATTCTGCAATGAATAGTGCATATGATTATCCCATTTTAATAGCCAGCTGCTATCAGGCTTTCCTAGTGGCCATTTTAAAGGCAATTATTTACCTTGGGCTTGCCAGGGCTTTAGGAGCTGGCAGCAACAGCCAAAATATCTGAGCCAGGGTGAGGAATGTTGCCATCTTGTCCCCACAGCCCTTTTTGCTGCTTGGGGGCTGCTAAGGAGAGTAAGATGGAGCAGCTGAGGCAACACTTAAGATCAGCAGCCCAGGCAAAGGCAAACCTTGCCTCTTGTAACTGTCATCTGTTGTTAGATGTTCCTGGTGCCAGGGTGTGTGTTATACCAAAAGAGAACTGGTAACTATGTTTGTGAGCCTTCAGTTAGAGAGGGTGAACTAATCCCATGTTATCGTTTAAATTTCTTGGATCCATGTGTGAGTAAGAAGGCAAGCTACAAATATTTCGGATAACAAATAAATATCCAGAATATTTGAGTAACAGGAATTTAGCTGTTTTATTTGCTTCCGACAAGTAGGTTAGAACTATAGGGCTGCAAGTTTCTCTTCACAATGCAGATCAGACTGAGCCACAAAAGAAACTGCAACAAAATCCTGCAGATCACCACGACCATCTGGAGTTCTTGAAGTAAGAAGCACACATTGCTGGAAGAGAAAAGCAGCACAGTGCAAAGCACCACAAGGTCACTAGCCAATTTGACACAAGGGAGAATTCCCCAAAATCCAAATGGGACAATTGGGCCCCAATTAAAACCCATTCACGGATTCTTTTCACATGAAATTGAAAAAACTCTTATTATCAGCCCATACTCCCCCCTCTCTCTACAACAGTCTCCAATGTCCCAGAAGGTGACCAAACCCTACAAATTGTGGAAAGAGAAAGCTATGATGAGATTCCCAATATCTGAAGTGTAGTCTATAGAGTACTCAAATTCACGGCTTTCCTTTAAAATACCTGGACAGAGCAGAGAATACAACTATGCTAAGAAAGACGGAGGGTTTTTCCTTCATCTTTTTCTGATGACAGCTTACCTACAAGGTAGACTTTCTTCCGTCCAAAACGATCTGAGAGCTGTCCAAAAGTAATCACTCCAACAAACACACCACTGAAGAAAAACGAACTGGCAGCACTGATCTTGTATGATGTGTTGCCAATTAAAAACCACTAGGGGGAGAAAAAAGCAGAGTTAGGCAGAATCCAACAGAAGGGAAGAGCTTCTTTTTGAAATCCATAAGTTATCCTTAACATTGTCATGCACCTAACAACTAGCACCCGACAAAAAGTTCTTTCCTAGTGTAAATAAAAAGTACTTTTCTCTCCTTACTGATTTATATCTATAGGTAACATTGCATATTTATTGTCCATGTACCACATACAGAAGCTAAACAGGAGTGGCAAAACTTCCGAAGGAAGGCCAATATTGAGATGCTTCAAGTTTAAAACGCATCTCTTAAAAGATCACAGGAGTACAGATTAGGTGTATTTCTGTACAATGGATAAATGGCAAATGTAACACTCTGGGGTAGTTGGCAGAAGCATTTCCTGAAGGCATACTCATTATTCTGTTGACTTGTTACTGGCTAATATGACAATTCCAGTGCATGAACTTAATCCATTAAGGTGGGGGCTTTGCAATCTTGTTAATAGGACACGTCTTTTGAGAATGAGTATGTTTAGCACCTCCATTGCCAAAACCTGCAAACAGACATACACTTCATAATTTAGCTTCAGTGCTGATCTTCTCAGAAACAGTGATATGTTTCAGCCACAATTCTTCTTAGAAATTAATACTTCACAAATGCTACAAATCATATCCTTTGAAGTATGGCGTGAACTTATGCAATGCTTGTTGTGAAACATACTTGGTGAGGAAGTAGATTGTGCTGCACTCAGGTTGCCATTCAAGCATAGCACTGTTCATGAACCCAGCAAAGAAATGATCTTATTCTTCTTTATGGAGTCATAAACTAGTTCCTCCCCTTTAAGCACACACACACACACACACACACACACACACACACGATTTCCAGAGAGGTAGTCATGCTAGGTGTTTTTGCAGGAACAACCTTAAAGGCTAGCACATCTATTACGGTATAAGCTTATATGGACTCCAGTCCACTTCATCAAATGAATTAATCTGGTGGTTTTTAGAAAAGTCTCAGATGCCAATATCCACAGGACTGGGTATGTTCATCTGATCACAGCTAGACAAAATGTTTATAAAAGGATCATAACACTTATTTTTGAAAAATTATAAGAGCTACATTTGGGTAAGGCTTTACTTTGAACCAACTAGAATGTGACAAAAATAGCGAGCAAACCTTTAACTCTTCTTTTGCCTGGACCCTAAGCAAAATGGCAGGGCAGTGGAAGAGGAAGAGATTAATAATGCAGTCCAAAAGGCTGTGGTCTGTAGCAATCTCAATTTGGGAATGCAGGAAATTCTTTTGTTTATCACATTTATATCCCACTTTTCCCAAAGAACTCAGTGTTGTATACATAGTTCTATCCACCCATATTTTATCCTCACGACAACCCTGTGAGGTAGGCTAGGCTGACAGTGGCTGGCCAAAGGTCACCCAGGGAACTTACTACTTGGCTAAGTAGGATTTGAGCCCAGGTTCACAGACTTAATTAGTCTCTGCTAGGTGCAAGACTATAGGGTGGCGCTGTGGGTTAAACCTCAGAGCCTAGGACTTGCCGATCAGGTCGGCGGTTCGAAACCCCATGATGACGGGGTGAGCTCCCGTTGCTCGGTCCCTGCTCCTGCCAACCTAGCAGTTCGAAAGCACGTCAAAGTGCAAGTAGATAAGTAGGTACCGCTCCGGCAGGAAGGTAAACGGCGTTTCTGTGCGCTGCGCTGGTTCGCCAGAAGCAGCTTAGTCCTGCTGGCCACATGACCCGGAAGCTGTACGCCGGCTCCCTCGGCCAGTAAAGCGAGATGAGCGTCGCAACCCCAGAGTCAGTCACGACTGGACCTAATGGTCAGGGGTCCCTTTACCTTTACCAGGTGCAAGACAGAATTTTGGTTGTACCATATTCTCTGACCTCTTCCTTCCCATTTTGCTTGTGTTGCTCAGCCTGATTAAGAGAGCTGTAAAAAAGCTTGTTCACTGTTTTTGGACATCTTACTTGGTGCATCTTACATTACTGTAGAATTTGGATTTTCTCTCTCTAATGGATCACCTAAAATTTTGTAGCAATAATTTAGAAGGTTAAGTGCCAAGATCCCCACAACAATCCTGGCTCAATTACCTCAGAGGCTATTGATGTAAAGTTGCTGCTAAAGTGTATGTGTTTCTGAACTTCACTCCCATTGGCTGTCAGGAGCCACTTCCCAAAAGTTCTTTCTTCGCTAGCCGACTCATTGCTATGGCTTTTATTTGCAGAGGTCCCTTCAAGGTCCCAATGGTAAGGAGGTGTGGCCCCCACTAGGGCAATGAGGATTGCTTCACTGGCCACATAGAGCTGAAACAATGAGAAGTAGAATCAGAATCAATGCCAGAACAAACAAAAACTTCCTGACATTTAAATAACAAATATCCTTGATCATATCTACACAATAGCTCAGAGGTTATTTGCCGTTTAGAATGAGAATTGTCAGTATTTCAGGTTTATCTGCTTTGGAAATGTTTCTCCCACCTTGTCAATTCACAGCAATCCTATGAATGCTCTTTTTGCTTGGCTATATAACCCCTTTGCAATAAGCATAATTCCAGGGTCCATCTACACTTCCATTTGTCCTGTGATTTCAAGTCACAGGGCCAAGAGGGGTTTTTATTTGTTCTGCTGCCTTTCTCAGGAAAACCTGCTGTTTAGATCATGCCACCTGAAGAACCAATTTAGATCATGCCACCTGAAGAACCAATAGTCCCGTTTGCTTATAAGGATTTCTCTAACACTACAACATAATTCCAAGTTCTTTCATACAAAATAAGTTTTCTCCAAGAAAAACACACACACGTCGAGATGAGTTATAAGCTAAACAAACTTGTTTCTAGTCAACAAAGATTTTTGTGAGTACACTGAAATAGTACAGACCAGACATAAACTTACAACCTGAACGCGAATTAGGCCTTCTCAGTCATGAGTATCCATGTGGTCTTGGAGAAAGCCAAGATCAGAATGGAATGATTTCCAGGGAGCCATATTTTTTGGCTGGCTAAAACTGTGCTTGCCAGAATGATTCCTCCTCAGGGAAACATCTCCAGGTCCAACTTTAGGACTGAGAAGGGTGTTGAAGGCTTGCTGACATGGCTGTGAGTGGCCGAGCTGCTCCAGGGCACCTACGGCAGCCACCACCTCACTTCCCAGCTCCAGAGCCAGCACAGCTGGCAGTGTTTTATTGGTTTGGCTGCTTAGCTGCAGAGCTTAGCTCCACACTCAGTATATGGAGGCTTCCTGGGTACGGCTGTTGGGTTTGGCAAAGCTCAGCCTACAATAGCCACAGCATCTTCAGCTTTCCTCACCCAGGGGAGGCAGGGAGAAAGGAGAGAGAGAAGGGATCTCTGCACTGCTGGCCAAACCCAATTCTGCAGCTGCAAGGTTGGAGAAAGGCTTGCCATGGCCAGCAAAAAAAATGGAGGTGCCTGTCTGTTCCCAATTACAGTTTTGAAGGGTAGTTTCCAATTCACCTTTGGGCTTTGTCTGACAGCCACGAACTACACAGGAACACTCACCCAGTGGCAGAGGAAGGGGAGTGCGGGGGGAGCACACCGCCCCTGGCAGTGCAATATTGGTGGGGTGCCATCGCGGCTGCCCCCCCCCACGCTGGGCGCCATGCCCCCACAGGCGATGTGCCATGTCCCCGGGACGTGCGCCAGCCCCGCCCCGCCTGCTCTCCGCCCCCCCCCCGGTGTCGGAGCATGAAGCTCTGCCACTGCACTCACCACCACCAAAGTGGCTCTCCTTGAGGCTATACTGTCCAAGCGACTGTCACCCTTAGGGCTACCCATCTACTTGGTGCAGGGCCAGCCCAATACATTTTGGCACCACAGGCAAACCACAAAATAGGACTCACCCCCCCCCCCCCACACACACACCAGGGAAGAAGGGGTGAGTGAAGATCTACATTAGAGAAAAAGAGGGGGAATCAAATCAACCTCCCCTGAAGGCTGAAATGGGAATCAAAGGCCATTGTTGGAAGGGGGTGCGCTGAATCCTTCCAGGTAGGTGCAAAGCCCAGGAGACCCCAGAGAGCAGCCCCCACTATTTATTCCTTACATTTATATACCCCCTTTTCCTCCAAGGAGCTGAAGGTGCTGCACATGGCTCTCTTACTCCCTGTCTCACCCTCACAACAAACAGACCTGTGAGGGAGGTTAGGCTGAGACATGGTGACCGGCCCAAGGCCACCCAGCGAGCTTCATGGCGGAACGGGAGATTCGAACTCGGGTCTCCAAGATCATAGCCCAACACTCTAACCATTTTGGGCTCAGGGGTGGGAGGAGACCAGCAGCAGCTCCTTTTCACCATGAGGCCATGGCAGAGGTGGGCCTTGTTGTTGTTATTAATCCTTACTAAATTTGCACACCGCCCTTCCTCCAAAGATCACAAGGCGGTTCACAACATAAAAAGACAAAACGAAAACACAGGACACATAATAAAACACAGGCAAAAGCAACAGAAACTAACCACCACCACCACCCCAGAGGCACATTTAAAAGGCCACAGCAGTCCAATGTCTGGTTGAAGAGAAACATTTCCACCTGGTGCCTAAAGGTAGGCAAGGAAGGTGCCAGGTCAGCCTCCCTGGGGAAAGCATTGGGTGGGGGGGGCCACCAAGCAGCAGGCAGATCCTGGAGGAGCATCTGCACCATCCTCGTCCAGCCTGGACACTGAGCTCCAGCGCCAAGGGCCTTCTGGTGGTTCCTTCACTGCAAGAAGTGAGGTGACAGGGAACCAGGCAGAGGGCCTTCTCGGTGGTGGCGCCCGCCCTGTGGAACGCCCTCCCACCAGATGTCAAAGAGAAAAACAACTACCAGACTTTTAGAAGACATCTGAAGCCAGCCCTGTTTAGGGAAGCCTTTTAATGTTTGATCTTTTATCGTGTTTTTCATATTCTGTTGGGAGCCGCCCAGAGTGGCTGGGGAAGCCCAGCTGGATGGGTGGGGTATAAATAATAAATAATAACAATAACAATTATTATTATTATTATTACTATTACTATTACTACTCCTACTCCTACTACGCTGCAACCGTGGCGGATCCCTGCGTTTCAGGGGGTTGGACTAGATGCCTCTGGAGGTCCCTTTCCCTTCTCGGCCTCTCCGGCTTCCTCGGAGGCCTCCCCTTGCCTCACGGGTGGGCCGGCTCCTCCCTCCCTCCCTCCCTCGGCCCCGTCCGGCTTCCTCACCTGGAGCAGCGCGGCCAGCAAGACGCAGAGCCAGACCTGGAAGGGCCCCATCTGGCCCACCTGAGCGAAGGCCTCCTCCACGTCCATGACCGAGGCGGCGGCGGCGGCGGCGGGTCTCCGGGCGGCGAGAAGCGCATCCCGCTGGCCGGCGCCGCGCTGCTTCCCTGCGGAGACTCGCCGGCCGCGCTGACAGGAGAAGCGCCGCCCGAGTGCGCATGCCCAAGGAAGGGTGCGCGACGTCCGCCTGGAGACCGCACTTCCTGGTTACGGCCGGCGCCGCCTCCCATGTGGACATCCGGGGCTTTCAGGCGGAGCTGTGATTGGGCAAGGCCGCGAGATGCTCCCGCCCTCCTCCCAAAGTCCCGCCCGCCGGAATCCGGTTGCGTCGCGGCGTCTTCAGGCGGAGTTGAGCGGAAGTTCTGACTGGACCCGGAAGAGGCGGCAGGCGAAACCGGGCGGGCAACAAAATTCGCAGCGAACCTGCGGACTCATTTTAATTCTATATCTCCAGATACACAATAATTATATACGTGTGTGTCTGTGTGTGCATTCTTTAAAATAATATATAAAATACTCGTGTCTCGCCCGCCTTTTTCTCAGACAGGGAGTCAAGGCGGCTTACAATAAAATGACACAGAGATCAAATTCATCCCTTTTGTCTCCTTCCTGGTTTCATTAACCATTTCCATTTTGGGACAAGTAACATTCTTGCCCCTGTAGTAAGTTTCTATACAGTTTATGAATAAGTTTCTATACAGTTTAGGTCAAGGGTCTGCAACTTTTAAGACAAAAAGAGCCACTTGGACCGAAGAAAAAAAACTGGGAGCCACAAAACCATTGCAATATTTAAAACAGTGGGGAGTGTCGGGGCACACAATGCGCCTCCTCCCCTCGCTAGTATCCGCCCCGGAGCCGCGGCAAAGGTATAAAAGAGCCACATGCGGCTCCGGAGCCGTGGGTTGCTGACCCCTGGTTTAGGTAATTCTGTCCCCATAATTCCCAAAAGAAAAGCTTTGGGTTTTTTTTACAAAGGTTATTTTAAAAATCCTTTTCATTTCATTATATCTCATTTCCCAGTACCTATGATAAAAACCTTGATGGCAGAAAGTGAGGAGGAATTAAAGAACCTTTTAATGAGGGTGAAAGGAGAGCGCAAATATGGTCTGAAGCTCAACATCAAAAAAACAAAGATCATGGCCACTGGTCCCATCACCTCCTGGCAAATAGAAGGGGAAGAAATGGAGGCAGTGAGAGATTTTACTTTCTTGGGCTCCATGATCACTGCAGATGGTGACAGAAGCCACGAAATTAAAAGACGCCTGCTTCTTGGGAGAAAAGCAATGACAAACCTAGACAGCGTCTTAAAAAGCAGAGATATCACCTTGCCAACAAAGGTCCGTATAGTAAAAGCCATGGTTTTCCCAGTGGTGATGTATGGAAGTGAGAGCTGGACCATCAAGAAGGCTGATCGCCGAAGAATTGATGCTTTTGAATTCTGGTGCTGGAGGAGACTCTTGAGAGTCCCATGGACTGCAAGAAGATCAAACCTCTCCATTCTGAAGGAAATGAGCCCTGAGTGCTCACTGGAAGGACAGATCCTGAAGCTGAGGCTCCAGTACTTTGGCCACCTCATGAGAAGAGAAGATTCCCTGGGAAAGACCCTGATGTTGGGAAAGATGGAGGGCCCAAGGAGAAGGGGGCGACAGAGGACGAGATGGTGGGACAGGGTTCTCGAAGCTACCAGCATGAGGGAGGAAGTGGAAGAAAGGAGTACCTAGCGGGCTCTGGGCCAGGGGGTCACGAGGAGTCGGACATGACTAAACAACAACATGATAAGAACAGCAGCATCCATACTCGCACTGGCCAACCAAGTTCCTGTGCAAAGCCTGCTTGCAGGACCTGGGTGCAATGGCAGTCTCCTCAACTGGGATCTCCAGCAACTGGTATTCAGTGGCATAGTGCCAGGGATAGTGAAGGTTAAACATAGTCATCATGGCTAGTAACTCCTGATAGCTTTATCCTCCATGAATTTGTCTAATCCCCTTTTAAAGCGCTCCAAGCTGGTGGTCATCACGGCCTCCTGTGGGAGCAAATTTCAAAGTTTAATTATGGAGATGTACTTTCTTTAATCTGTCCTGAAACTCTGGATGGCCCCCCAAGTTCTAGTATTACGCGAAAGGGAATAAAATCTCTCTCTCTTGCCACTTTATCCACACTTTGCACAATTGTTTAACATGTCTCCTCTTACTCACCTTTTTTTCCTAAACTAAAAAGCCCCAAATGTACCCTTTCCTCAAAGGAGATTTGCTCCAGTCCCTTGACCATTTTGGCTGCCCTTTTCTGTACCTTTTCCGGTTCTACAATATCTCTTGTTGAGGCGCAGGCCAGCTATTAGTACAACAAAATGCATTTTGAATTCATTTCTTATCACATCATTCGCAGGTAGCGATCGTGACATTTTCAAGGGTTCTGGCCTACTACAAATGGCGCTTCCAGTATGGTAGGCTAGGTTTAAGTTAATATATGTACATGAACAGCAGTTCTTGTCAATAGATTGGGGGGGTTGGGGGGGATGCAGGGAGCCCAGTCCATATTCAGGGAACCAGCCCCAGGAAATCCTAGGATCATAGAATTGTAGAGTTGGAAGGGACACTAGGGATCATCTAGTCTAACCCCTGTAATGCAGGAATAGGCAGCTGTCCCATCTGGGGATAAAACCTGCAACCTTGACGTTATCAGCACCACAACCAATGGAGCTATCCAGGCTGATTATCCTCTTGGCATCTCTGGTTCCAACCCTTGTCTCTGTCCTCTTTGGGGTCCTTCTGCCAGGCAGACTGATTGCTGATGTGACGTCTACCCACCAGGCAGTCCTTGGGCTAGCAGATGGGTTTAAACTGTGAGGGGTTTCTTCTTCTTCTTCTTCTTCTTCTTCTTCTTCTTCTTCTTCTTCTTCTTCTTCTTCTTCTTTGCAAATCTCCGGCATATTGGAGGTTTGGATTGTACTGATAGCTCATTTCCATATGGCCAGGGGGGGTTGCTTTTTCAGACTCCACCTGCCCCCAGACAAATACTTAATACGCCACCCCTCTTTCTCCTCCACTGTAAGACCATACCTCATATTAGGGATGCTTTGCTTTTTTGCTTTCTAAATTCATCAGACTCACCTTCAAACATAGAGTGTTTTATGTGATGAACAGCATTCGGCACACCGGCTCCTAGACACTAGTTTAGGCCAATCCACTGATTTAATATGGGGCACAGAACAGCCATCAAGTCGAGTTTCATGAGCGAAGTAAAGCTGCATGCTTCAATAATATTAACATGCCCTACTCCTGACTATGTCATAAATTTGCTGTAGGATATAAATTCAGCGCCTGACATTCTAAAAGGATTTGGCATTTGTAACTGGTTCATTGGGCTCGGCACCTGAGGCTCGGCGAAAGCAGGAGTTTCAGAGAGTGCATCTCCGATGCCTTTAACGATTGTATTTATTAGGCTGAATTGTGTTGATGAGGCAAAAGATGCTTCAGGAGAGACGAGGGAAGCAGAGGTGTGAAGAGATGCAGCTGAGTTCCCTTGAGCCTCCTGGTAACTAACACATGCAGCGTGGCCTTTGGGTGATTGCAGGGGCAAGACGGGCAAAAATAATTCTCAGAGTGACAAAAGGGTAATGATTAAGGCTTGCATGGCTATGAACATTCCCCAGGGCCATTGCTGTGGTCCTACCATGCTCTTATAAAAATAACTCCACCATCACTAGTTTTGAGAATGTGTCTCGTATGCTCTCACAAGCGCAGGGCAGGGCTGCCGCTCAGGGGTGCGGAGGTTACAATGGATCAAAAATCAAGGCCCTGGAATTAATTGAGGTTAGTAAACACAACTGGACACTGCTGGATGAACCTTCGGAGGGGGAGTTTAATGTTGCATGAAAGGCTGAAGTTGGCTGCAGCACTGATAAATGGTCTCTCCCTATGGATTCCTGGATGGGGAGGCATCCTTTTGTCAGAAAAGCACCCCACAATTGGGAGGTTTTTAGTGAGTGAGGGTAGGGGAAGAGAAATAAAACTATTCATTTGCTGGCTGGGGACCCTACTACTATGGACGCGGGTGACGTTGTGGTCTAAACCACTGAGCCTCTTGATTGGAAGGTTGGCGGTTCGAATCCCCGCGACGGGGTGAGCTCCCATTGTTCTGTCCCAGCTCATGCCAACCTAGCAGTCTGAAAGCACACCAGTGCAAATAGATAAATAGGTACCGCTGTGGCGGGAAGGTAAACAGCATTTCTGTGTGCTCTGGTTTCTGTCACGGTGTCCCGTTGCAACAGAAGCAGTTTAGTCATGCTGGTCACATGACCTGGAAAACTGTCTGTGGACAAAGGCCAGCTCCCTTGGCCTGAAAGCGAGATGAGCGCTGCAACCCCAGAGTCGCCTTTGACTGGACTTAACTGTCTAGGGGTCCTTTACGTTTACCTTTACTAGTACAGTAGGTACCTCGGGTTACAGACGCTTCAGGTTACAGACATTTCAGGTTACAGACTCGGCTCACCAAGAAATAGTACCTTGGGTTAAGAACTTTGCTTCAGGATGAGAACAGAAATCGTGCTCTGGCAGCGCGGCAGCAGCAGGAGGCCCCATTAGCTAAAGTGGTGCTTCAGGTTAAGAACAGTTTCGGGTTAAGAACGGACCTCCGGAACAAATTAAGTTCTTAACCAGAGGTACCACTGTATTCAGTAGGGTCAAAGAAGTCTTCAAAGCAGCTGCTATATCAGAATAATTTATTGGAAGTGATAGTGGGTGGGCAGGTAAGAAGAAAGAAAGAGAGCTGGCTAAACCTATGTAAATTTCCTTCACTTAGCACAAGTTCTAGTACATATTTTATCCACATAAAAGGAGGTACTGTTATGTTACCCTGGGTAATAGTGTGGGAGCTCTTCCCTTCAACAGCAGTACAGATGTTGGTTGCACCAGCTGGCCAGCTATGGATGAGGGATACGTTCAATTCACACTTAAAGGCAAACTTACCTAATCCACACCTTACAGAACAATATGCAAACCGAAACACAGCCACCCTTTCAAATTCACTCTTTGAATTTCCAGTGCAATTCCCCAACCGGGTAATGCGTACAAAACTGCACCAGCAAAAATCACACACAGAATACATTATATCAGCAAGAATCACTTTGCAAAAGAAAGTGTATATTGAGCAAAATTGCATACGT